GTTCGCTTTAGTCAGAAGATTAAATTAAAGTTGCAATTAACGAAATGGTGCTATTTTTCCTAAATTGTTTTCCCTCGAATAATACTTTCAAACGTCAAAAAGGAAACTGACAGATTGATTTTTTTAGGTTGGTAGCAACGTAGACTTGTTCATATAATAATTTTGCTGCATTGAAAATGACAATTTTTATTCTCCGTTTGTGTATCTAATAAGTCAAGAGTCCCGTCTCTTATTTTATATACTCTTTGCCACTCTTTTATCTTTCTTGAGATTACAGTTATAATATAGATTTAATTTATCATACTCTAACCAAAACATAAGACATATTTTATTACGCGTCTGATACAGTACGAAATGATAGTTACCTACTTAAGTATATTTTTGAAAATAATTACAAATATAATTTCATTTTAATTACATCCAGTTTAGAATTTAAAATGTGTATTTACGTGGCCCGTAATTCATAAATTATTCAGTATTAAACATTCATATTTTAAAGAGAAGAATTACTATCACAAGTCCGTCTGTTCGAATGCAGTAAACTCAAAAACGACTAGAGAAATATCTTTTTTCCTGCCATTTTCACAAACTAATATAAATAAAAAAGCAAGCATTACTCTCTAATCATTACGACAAGTACGAGTCATAAAATGTTAATTGTATAACATCACAATATAAAAATAAATATCCGAACGATGAATGCATATATGATTCATAAAAATAAAAAAAGAAATTGCAACTCTATTTCTTTTATCCATTCAAAACATACCGATATAATACATCAACCGTGTCCATTGTTCATTAGCTTTTTTCTTTTCTAATTGCTGATTGAGCCACCATTCAAATGTACCTTTTTAATTTATTTTAGTTTCTATCTGCATTCAGTGTATTTAACATCTGGTGTATAGATATTTTGTTCAATTGTCATTTAGTTTGGTGGCGTTAGCCCAAACATACAAATGTTTTAATAATTTTTACTAATAACGCCTCAAATATGGGGCATACAATTCTTTTAGTTAGTTTATTTTTAATATGTATAGTTATAGTGTACGGTAAATATCACAAACGCGAAGACCATTTCGATAGTATGGAAAGTTCATCGTTAGGATCTGAAAGTACGGAAGTTTTTCCTGAGGGTCCGAAAGGATTTTCTAAAAAAAAAGTCAGTACACATGTAAAAAGTGTCAACGGAACTAGAAACAGAACTGCAAAAGGTAAGATTTTTACTGTATTTTATCTTTTAACTTCAGAATTAAGTTTTATAATAGCTGAACCCGTCTCACACTGTCAAAGTCAATCGTCAACAGTCTCTCTCTAAATATCTATTTCTCTCTTTCTCTAGCTGGTACCAACCAATAAGGTCGTGAGACCTACTAAAATTAATAGAATCTTCCATTTTGCTGTCTTTGAAATATTCTATCCAGCGCCTAAAGCAGTTCAAAATTATTATTATTATAGTTATTTAGAGTCCAAATTCTTTATAACGTTCTAAGAAATTATCATTGTTAACCATAAAATTCTGTTTATTGATTTACATACATCGTCGGAAAACATAGTAGTTACGAATAATCATTATTACTTCCTTCATTATGTAAAATATAGAAAATATTCAAAAAATTCTTATGTCTATGTTATTGTTTTTTTTTTATTATAACGAAACAATTGACATATTTTATACTAAATATATTATTGGAAGGTTAAGGCCTTCTTAGAATCTATTCTTAAGTACGCCTTTTGAAATTAAAAAATGTATTACGTTAAATTATTCTTAAAGCGATGATCAAAAACTATCATAAACTAGTTTAAATACGTTTTAATAACTTATGAGTAGAATACTCGATGAATAAATTTTGTTGACAGAAAAGACCAAAAAAAGTGAAAAGGCATACAAAGTGAGAAATGGGTCGCAAAGGTATCCGTTCTCAGTATCCGTACAAAGAAAGGGAACCCATTATGCAACTGGGGCCCTGATCGATAAGAAATGGGTACTGACTGTCGCAGGAGAATTTTATAAGTGAGTTATCCAACATTACTTATTTACTAGTGGTCGAAATTCGACTAATCCGTAAGATTTTTCTTTTTTGTAAAAAAAAATAATTATACACTTCTTCTCCATTCCTTTCACGAACATATAGACACAAAAATATAGTCGACTCTTTCATTCTCTTCAAGGAAATAGAGAACAATATGTTTTTGTGTACTCTATCTGGCGAAATTCCTTATCAGTTACAGTTAATTTCTAAAAAAAATTATGGTCCTTACGTTTCCAGTGTTCTTTACAGTGTGAGAGAATCGATAAAATTCTTCAGAGTGCGACTGGGTACGGTTAATTGCAAGAAAGGAGGTGTTTTACTACCAATCAAGGGTGTAGAGATCCATCCAGCTTATTCATACAAGAAGCCAACGTATGACGTCGCGTTACTCCGTTTAGCAGTTTCCGCTGATTATAGTGAGGCATTGAAACCGATTCCTTTAACTAGAATCAAAGGAAAAGTGCTAAGCGCGAAATTCCTGGCAACCTATTGGCCTAGATTAATCGTAAGTATAAAATTTTAAATTTAGAACCTAAATTTATTTACTAAACGCGAATGATACTTCATCATCAGCTCACTACACACACGAGTACGAGTACGTACACACTGAGGGGCTTGAAACCTATCCTAAGTAAGGGGGTCACTAGACCATAGTCAACCACGCCGGCTTAGTGCGGGTTAACTGCAGATATATCTTTGAATTTTTTTACAGATATGTGCAGGTTGCATTAAGTAGTTTTCCTTCACAATAAGAACGTCGGATAAATGTACATATGTAAATCGAAAATCACATTGATACATTGTGGGTTCGAACCCAGGACCTGCGGATTACAAGTCAAGTGCTTAATCCTTGAGCCACCGACGCTCTATAATAATATTGATGTATGAACGATAACCTACTCTTATTTATTATTGCTTAGTGTACAAAAACGAACAATTATGACAATAAACAATTTAAAAACAATAAAAATGACGTAATTAGTTTTCTAATGTTATATTAGGTCAGAGGGCAAGTGCTCCCGTCATCAGCGCAAGAACGTGTCCAACCAAACAGTATGAGGGTATCGACGCAAAAGATGATACCATGGAGCTGGTGCCAGAGTCTCATGTCCACGCTAAACCAGACCCTGGATGAGTCCAGTCTATGTCTGGATCCTATCATGTCACATCATAGTTTATGCTTGGTGAGAACTGCTTTTAAATGTATAAAACCGTTTTTACAATTGGAACACAACCAAACAACAAATATGGGTTGTTTTCTTCATCTAGGTGCCCTTATCCCACTCTATGTAGGATAAAGACAGGTGTTCGAGAATGTCTTATTGGTTGTGTGAATTGATAGTGGAAAGTGACGTTTAAACTTTATTTTACAATTTCTTCGTAGCCTGACGCGGGGGCGCCAGTGACGGCTGACGATGGCTTATGGGGCATCACATCTGGTTGGACATCAGACAATTGCCTCGGCAACCCGAGCCCTACAATCTTCACGCGTGTCTCCTCTCCCGTCGTGAGGGCTTGGCTCGACTCCCAATTGACCAGCCTTTGATACTGTAGTGGAAACTTCGAAAACATTCTATGGGCTTCAATTCGATTAATGGTTTACATTGTGCCAGTACAACAGGACTGGACCGCTATATCCAATCCGATATAGTCCATGCCAGGCCAGTTGTACTATCATATTGTACTGGCATAATGTAAACCAAGCAAGCAAAGTTCGTCAATTGTCAAATAATTCGAGTAATTATTAAATCGAACTGTTAATTGACTTTACTTGAAGAAATACTGTGATCACAAAGTACTTAGGACCGACCGAATAATATAATAAGATACCAACAAGTACCAATGTAAAATACCTACAAAAAAAATAGATACTGCAGATAATAAAATATGATACTAAAACATAAATTAATTTTGGCTTTATAAAAGACTAGCAGTCACAAGACTCCGTGCGCACGGAATTTAAAAAAAGTTTGGTAAGTAGTCTATGACACAACTGTCAGACTTGACAGACACTTCAATTTACCCGCTAACAAACATCCAATACAAAGTTTACATTGCAATATTGTTTCCAAGAGTTAAATAACAACGGGTATATCTTAGTACAAGTGAAAACTGCTAATGAAGATCGTTATAAAATTTTGTACCGATGAACTTTTTTTACGTTCTTCTATTGCCTTAACTGAAGGTAAGTTTATAATTTACATAAAATAAAACAACAAAGTATATTTTTATGATTTTTATTGTACTTTCAACTACAATTATGATATTACATCGCTGTAACAATCATTATTGACGCCAATAGCTATCAAAAGACATTACGCCTACGCATTTATTTTTAAATCTTTGGTAATTCATTTTAGCTGTAGGTTGCATAGATAAAAATTGATTTCATTTACTTACACAAACATATAGGTGTATTTAAATATAAACGAAAAATCTATTAAAAAATATGACGCTAATTAATTGACAGAGATAAAATTAATATAATGCATAACATTTGTCAAATGAAAGTTAAGTATTAAAAATTAAACAAAGTTGCTAAAAGAGCTATAGTTTAGTTTAATTTTGCCATACTTGTCGGTTTAATTAGGAATCAATAAAGTGATAAAACATGTCAGATAAATCGATGGTATAAATCATATTTCGTAATCTTAGATAGAATTTTTTATCTGTGGTGATTTCAATAGTTTTTATTTATAGATGAGAAAATTATTACAGTATTTTGTAATTGAACAAACGAAAATAGTTTGTTGTGCGTGTACTCCTTTTCATAGATTGAGGTAAAGGAATTAGAGGTACAAATTAAATCCCATATCCAACTCACAAGGAAAAAGGACGAAGTATCTTACTCGCAAAAGCCGAAATTTTTAGTTACTTTGGTAGAAAAATTCCGCTAACGCCTGAGTAAACTTCATAGCAAATATTCGAACTAGCGATTAGATTCAATAATCACTTGGCACATACAAATTCTATTATCTCATTTCGAGATGCCAGCATAATCTTTTTCCAAAATTTCATGCACAAGTCTTTAATAAAAAGAACTCTCTCCGTTTATTATCTACTTCTTTCTAAACTCTTCTTCAATTTGTTCATCGCTCTTTCCTTTTGTTTCTGGTAACAAAATTAATGCTACGAAGAAACCTACCAAGTTGATACCGGCGAAGCAGAAGAAGGTGGTGTACATGCCCAGGGTGGCGGTTATAGGTGCGTACAACATTAGTTGCAAGAAAGACATACACCAAGAGTGCATTAACACTAATCCCATTACCTTAGCACGGATCTGGAATTAATTAAATAATTTTAAATGTTGTTTAGTCAGAAATAAGAAGACAGAAACTGTTTATTGGTATCTCTCGATGTAGGTTTAGTTCAAAGATCTTCCTTAGTTTTTCCTAATTACGGCAGCAAGGGTACCCAAAAACGAGCGTTTGCGCGTAAATAATTGAATATAGTTAGGTTAGTCCGTATTAATTTGAAATGCTTAACATTGGCGTATAACTCTGAGTTGAGGACTATGTTTTCTTACTTATATTATAAATGCGAATGTTTACATGAATGGATGGTTGGATAGATGATATTTGAAGGTATCTCCAAGACGGATCTCGATGAAAAAAGTATTTTTCAAGTTCACACAGACGGATTCGCGGGTGACAGCTAGTAAGAATATAAATAATTACCTGGAAATTGAGCATTTCCGACATGATGATGAAAGGTAACGGACATATACCGGCAGCGTATCCGAAGATCGTGCAGACCATAGCCAATACAGGGAGCCAGCTCGGCGGGCTAATGCCGTTCGCTTGGAGGAGCATTCCACAACCCATAGTGCCAGTCGAACAGGCCGATATTAACAAACATCCGACCAACAACGGCTGAAAGAATAGAGAAAGCAATAACAGGTTTAAAAAGAAGTAAGCGAAGCAAACTGCCAACTATCTAGTGCTAGTCAGCTCATACCCTAGCTAGCTATTGTAGTCGGCTCATACCCCACTGAAGGACTCGAAGTCTACCATAAGTTTAAAATAACTAGGCCGTTACGCTAGCACACTGTGGCGTGGACGACTCCTTACACATCTTTGAATTTCTTCTCCGATATGTGCATGTTGCATCACGAAATTTTTTAATTACCAATTTTATGTTTGTTTGGAATATTATAAAATATGGGAGGATGTGTGGAGGTTTGTTAGAAAGTATGTCTAGAACGGCTCAACGGATCTCGATGATATTTGGCATAGATGTAGAACATAGTGTTTAAGAGCACATAGACAACTAATTATTTTTTTAATTCCGCGCTGCCGTATTGGCCGACAATTAGCGGTTCATGCTACATGTTTATGAATACTAATAAGTCTTACCTTACGTCCAAACCTTTCCACACATCCCATCGACACCAAAGATCCAATGATCAACATAACAGGGAAGCTAAGCGCCTGCATTTCCGCGCTGATGCTAGATTGGACGCCGCTGGAAGCGAGGATACTGGAGCCATAGTTGATGATGGCAAATGTTCCATTGGTGGCATGCACCGTGATGATGAGGAGCGCCAGAATGACTAGACCGCGCCAGTTCTTGTTCTTAACTGAAAGGTATATCTAGATTGAAATTTTTCGAAAATAACAAATGTATAATTTTGTAATGATTGCTCAGTGTTTGACAACCTTAGCACCCATTGAATTGACCGAGTTGTGGAACAATCACCAAGTAACATATTTTGTTACGATATATCTTAAACCTTTACATATGCATAATTATGGTCGAAATTACTATTACTTACATATAGCGACCAAGGAAGTTTTAGGTAGAGATTCGAAATATAACTGTTGCTTCTTCAATATATCAATTTCTCTTTTAACTGATTCATTGTCGACATCCAGGCCTCTGAGAAAAGCAATAGTTTTTGTCGCTTCCTGAAATAACAGCACTCTTATAGCCGGAACCAACTCGATGGAATAAATCGATTGCGCTGAACCTAATATGATCAACATTTAAATTTTAATTAATTATACGTTATTAATACTCATATAAAATAAAAATATAAGAGTTTTAAGTGCACCATAATCTGATACGGTATTTCCCTTTCCTAGAAATTCCCAACCCAGTCAAAACTACTTTCCCTTTGCATCTCTTCCTTATAAGAAAATGGTGAGAAAGTGTAAAAGTTGAATGGACACACAGAAAAAGGATTTCTATGCAACCCCTCTGTCAAATCAACTTCTTCCCATACTTTCCTTATAAGAAAACGGTGGGAAGGGAAAGGGGATTAAAATTAGGCCTCTGGCACACACGGGTGGTGTCCGTTCGTGCCACAGATGTGTTGCTGGCGTCTACCACTTGTAAACTGTGGTACCGGGGGGCTGGGCTATTACTGCGAACTCTTGCACTTTTATTTACCGAAATAGTACAACTGCACTTACTTCAACATACCCCTTCTTGACAAGAAAGCTTGGTGATTCAGGCATCTTTATCATTAGAACAATTGTCAATATACTAAGAGATAGTACCATCCAAAGTACGAGGAAATAATCCAAATATGCTCCCATAATATACATGAAGAGTATGCCTGAATTTAAAGCCATCACTAGCAGGGAACCTAGAAGACCTCTGATATCATCCTGACTGATTTCTTTCACGTACATTGGGACTACGATAAAAGATCCTCCAGCAGCAACACCGGCGAATGCTCTTCCTACAACCAAACCCACTGTAGATGGAAATGATAATCTTGTAATCCATGATAGCTGAAAAAAAAAACAGAAGATTAGTTACTACAATTGTTCAAAATGAAACATACAATCTGACGAAAAGAGTCATATCTCTTATTTAGAGTTAGTAGACAAGAGATGTCACTCATATGAGTCGAGATGGATAGATTGGAATGGAACCCGATAAGGTCTCAAATTTTCCGATTTACACATGTACATTTATCTGACGTTCTTACGGTGAACGAAAACATCGTGATGCAACCTGCAAATATCTGAGAAGAAATTCAAAGATATGTGTGAAGTCAACCATCCCGCACTTGGCCAGCGTGGTTGACTATGGCCTAATCACCCTTAACTTAGGATAGGCTCCGAGCCCCTCGGTGGGGACGTATATTATATATAGCTGATAATGAAGGTCTCAAATGTACTTTATTACGATAGAAATATGCAAATTACAATACTGCCTTCTATCCCACTCATTCTCTATGGCAAAACAAAGATAGCAATTAGTTCTTGTAACAATTTGTTACGATGTATAAAATTCACAGTTTAATAATTTGAAATCGATTGGTTTTCTTACATTTTTTCTTTTCAAATACAACAAAGAATAAACTAAACTTCTAATCTATCTATACTAAAGTCTCCTATCCTTACTAAAGTGACCGTCAGCAATAACCCGAAGGAAATGAGACTGTCTTGGTCTTTTGAAAGACAAAAAAAAATGTAGGTACCAGGAATGCATAAAAGGTTGGAGCTTACCATTCCAAAAGTAGGCACAGTAATGACGGCATATTTTCGTCCGTATATATCAGCAATGTATGAATAAAATGGCGCACTGATCGCACCAAATACACACAAAATACTGGCCACTAATGACACTTCGTTATCTGTCAGTGGAACTCCAATAGGAGATTCATCAGACAGTAAACTCCTTGTTATTGGCGACATCCAGCCAGTTTCCAATCCGTACAACATTAAAGCGAGGTTTGCTAAAAAATAATCACATATTTTATAAAACAAATACTATTACAAATCCTTAAAATAAGCTTGTGTTCAGATTAGGATATGATTTACAATAGTCGAATGGAGGGATTCGAAACCTCGACCACATCGGATGTCCGTTTCTCTTACAAGCTATTGGCTTATCAAAGTATTTTAGTGTTTTAAATAACTATATTGCACGGATATAGTTCAAAGCTTTTTATATCATTGGATGAGTTGCTTATTATAAGATGAACAATCTAAAAGTTTTTTGGATATACACTTTGTATACTTGCAGTTAATTAAGATAGGTTCGGAACTACGAAACAATTTACTAGTAAAAAAGGGTTAGACGGATGGATGGACAACAAAGTGATCCTATAAGAATTCCGTTTTTTCTTATGAGGTACGTAACCCTAAAAATGTGCAGTTTCAAATGCAACGTATTTTATTCTTTTCCTAATGTTAGCACTGTTGCACTCAGAAACGTTGACTCGCCTCCTTAGTGTTTGAATATGAGAAATCTACTCTCCCCTCTTAGGGATCAAATATCCGTAAGAGCGGTAATGTGTTAAAAGAGTTTCGTAAGAAAGTTTTAAGACAATAACATAAAAAAAACAGTTACCGGATAAAGCGAAAATCCATTGCATCCTTGTGTTTCCCAATCTTACAACTTGGTTTCTTGTATCCAACATTTTTAAAACGAAATTTCGCACTTCTAAAATTAAAAAAAAAACTACTTATTAATTATTATGACTTTTTAAAACTGATTAGTTTAGATTCGTCTGTCACTAGTTTAGAGAAATCAAATAAAATGTTATGTGTAATAACATCGCTTTATATTTGTTATTTTTATACTTACTATTTATTTGATGAATACAGGATGTTCACTTTATTGAAAAAGAAAAAATATTACTATTTTATTCCATTTCAATATGATACCCATACATGACGACATTGATAACGACGACATATTCAGAGGCGGAGGATTAGACCGGCCCTCACACCAGCACCGGCTTACCGCGTAGCCTAGGACTTCCCCTATGGTTGGTTCCTTGGCGAAACACTTGTACAAATCAATCTGTCATCTTTTTTAAAATTTATTTATTATCTTTAAAAGAAATAGATATTTTATTGTAAAAGAGTTTTAGCTGTGGCAACTCACGGATGCATACTCTTTCTAATTTAATTATATAGACAAGTAATTTTACTTAACTTTTGTCTATTTAACTAAAAAAAAAAAAATCTTAAAATATTTTTTCTCTAAATCACAATTAGAAGTTTAAATGTATCTTAAGTAAACAAATAACGAATTATGTATATGATTTAAAAAAAAAAACATATAACTTGAATTAATTGATTACGTTTTTCGAACACCCCTATAATGTCATAATATATTATTATTATTTAACTATAGTATGTTTACTTAAACGTAAAATTACAAGTCGAAATAAAATCCTAAACAAACACACAGAGTGTCAGTTTAATCTTTATTACATATATGTTTAAATACACAAGCTCGGACAATTTTGTTAAGCAAATAAAACGCGAGTTTACATTTAATTGTAACTGGAAATGTACTAAGTTTGTTAATACGCAGAATATAAACTATTGCTACATTTTTTTTAAATAAAACTAGCTGTCGCCCACGACTCCGTTCGCGTGGATATATAAAAAACTTAATTAGTGTAGCCCACCCATTCATCCATCTACATCACATCCATCTAAACATTCGCATTTATAATATTAGTAAGTTAAATAAAAAGCAGCTCTTCAAGGCATAAATTCAAAAAAAATAATAAATAGTATCCTATGTCCGTCTCCTGGCTAGCTAAGCTACCTTCTCACCGATTTTCAGCCATATCGGTAAAGCTGTTCTTGAGTTATAAATAGTGTAATTAACACGACTTTCTTTTATACATAGATGACGCAAATAGGGCGTTCACTTGACGTTCTGTGCTGCGTCAAATTATGACAAAGCAGTAATGACAGATTTATTTAAAAAAAATATATTTAATACAATAGAATAATTAATCTAGTTCAGTGGGCCTATCACGAGTATTTGCGACATTTCGTATCGTAATCCTCATTTATGTCAAAATAGCTGTCACCCGTGACTCCGTTCGCGCGGAAAATAACTTTACTAGCCTATGTGTTCTTCCAGACTATGTTCTACATTTGTGCCAAATTTCATCAGAATCCGTTGAGTTGTTCGCCATCCAAACTTTCGCATTTATAATATTAGTAAGTTTTCTGTGATATGATATTTTAGGTGCACTTCGTGAAGTGTGTGTGTAGTGTAAATTGTGTTGTTATTATTACTTAAAAAAATATTACGTTTTAAAAGTAAATCATTTCTTGCTTTACACAAATTGCTTATAACAATTGCATATTGCACGATGGACCGATGACCTGGTCAAGGTTGCGGGAGTCCAATAGATGCGGGCGGCACAGGACCGGGCATTGTGGCAATCGATGGGGGAGGCCTACGTTCAGCAGTGGAGATTTAGGCTGATTATGATGATGATGATGAATTGCATATTGATTTTTTTTATATAAAAAAACAAACAAATATTAAAAAAGTGATATTTGTATTATAAATCATATAAATATAAAGTAGACATAAGAATATAGATAGAGTGGGAAAGAACAAACAAATATTACTCAGTCGTAAACAAACTAAATAACCATTACATTTTTTAGTAAAGACTATCAACAAACAGTTTATTTTATTTTTTAACCGACTACAAGAAGGAGTTTCAAATTTTTAGGGTTCCGTACCTCATAAGAAAAAAACGGAACCCTTATAGGACCACTTTGTTGTCCGTTCGTCCGTCTGTCAAGACCCTTCTCAAGAACGCGTGAATGTATCAACATGGAATTTATTTGTTCGTCGATAACTCGTTTAAGGCTTTAGGACAAGTAACGTCCTATGAGTAATTATAAGTCCAGGACTGGCGTTAGCGTACAGCGGATTGGAGTATCTGCCCCGTTTTGGATAAAAATGGGAGTCACAAGTCTGTAAATTACAGTCCCAAATAACAGTAGAAGGCGCCGTAAATCTTGATATTTGAAGTTAATTTATATTATTATTGAAAAGACGCTGACGTAGTTGTGTACGTAGTTAAAAAAAACTAGCTATTGCCTGCGACGCCGTCCGCGTGGATTTAATGAAAATCTTATTAAGTAGCCTATGTGTTCTTCTAGATTATGTTCTACACCTATGCTAAACTCCATTTAGCCGTTTTGAAGATATCTTGTAACAAACATCTATGCATCCATCTAAACATTCGCATTTTTAATGTTAGTAAAATGGCGAATTTAGAACCTCCTTTTTGATTCTTGAAGCTTTATGTTTTCTAATAATAAAGTTACAATTAAGGTTGCCAGTAGTGTTATATTATCAAAATTAGACTCCTAGTTAAATAGTTTCCGCGTTACCAACAAACGTTTCCTTTACAATATACATAACTATTTTAATATATAATACTAATATTTATATACGTTGAACTTATGTAAATTGATAAATATTAGAACGTGAAATTGTAGAAACGGATGCTTGGAGACAACGGTTTTGATAAGAGGCGCATATTATTAAGTAAATAAGCATCTTGTGATATCATTGATAAATAGAGCCGCATAAGCTTTATTTATATTTTCTATTTTTATATACTCTACGCCTTATGGGCCGGTATTATGTATTAAGTACTTTTTCATATACAGTTGAACCTCGATTAGAAAGAAACCTCTATAAGCGAGAAAAATATTGCGATCCCTTGGACTCTTACTTATCCGGATTTGACTGTATATCAGACGTAATTTCTGGATTTACTCCCGTCTCAAGCTTATCCTTTTACGCACAATCCATTCATCTTTTTTCGGTCTTCGTCTACAGTCATGCATATTATAAAATTAATTGTTGATAAAAATAAATTATAAATGCAATATTATTTTTCATAAAAATATATTGAAAAAAATTATAGTATTTTAAAAACATTTCCAGGCAAATTTCTTTTTGATTTCAACTTCTATATCCTCGTCGCTCTTTCCTTTAGTCTCTGGCAGTAAGAAGAGACTGACGAAGAATCCAAAGAGATTTAATCCGGCGAAGAAGAAAAAAGTAGAATGATATCCTAAATACATTGATATCTGGCCGTAAATAATGAGCTGCATGAAGTTCATGAACCAAGAATATGTCACCACCAAACCCATCACCTTTGCACGAATCTGGAAAAATAAATCAATTTTAAATTTAGAAGCACTTTAAGAGTACAAACTCTTCAACATCAACTTGTCCTTGTCCCACCGGAGAGTCGACAGTATGTACTACTCTTCCATTCATCTCTATCAACCGTCATAACTAAATTCACTCCCTTCTTACATACTTTACTTTTTACTTTCTTCTGTCTTCCAATTCTCCTTTCTTATTTATGTGTTTATCTCTCTGCCCTTGTTGTGACACCACACATATAATAATAATAATAATAATTTATTTAAAACAAAGTACACATAAAAATATACATCAGTTGTTGGAGCATCCTTTTAAGTATATAATACCTGTGACAGAATGCTCCGTTCTTCCGTACCATACATTTTTATTTTTATTTTTTTTACAATATCATATACCTTACAAATAAACAAAAAGAAATGATAACAACATATGGATGTGGGATGTTAGGATGGCCTAACAACAAATAAAAAATAACATACCTGAAAGTTTAATATCTCCGACATAATTATAAACGGCAGGGGTGAGACGCCAGTCGCATATCCGAATACAATACCGACCATAGCCAAGACAGGTAACCAGTTGGGTGGACTGATGCCACTGGACTGGAGTAGTAGCGCAACTCCCAAGGCAGCCATAGAGCATACGGATAACATCAAGCAGACTCCCATGAGTGGCTGGAAGAACAGAGACAAATTGTCTTGCTTTATTTATCGACTTTAAAAAGGAGGAGGACGTTTTTTGATATTATCTCAGATTATACCTACAAAGTTCAGAGTAATCAGACGTATGTCTTTTCTAATCTTAAACACTATTGTATTACTTAAATTGTTTTAGTTTCTTATAAATGTTAATATATTTTACTCGATAAGTTTATAAATTTGAAATTCCAATGACTTCATAAGTTTTTCAACTTTAATAACTAAAGTATCTGGAAACCATCGTGTTTTGTTTTTTTTAAATCATACTGTATATCGAAGTGTTAGTTTTGATTGTATTACTTTATTATTATAAATAAAATATGTAATAAATAATTTTGAAATGTATTTTACTCATTGCTATTACAATTACGTAGGTGCGGTCTTATTATGTTTTGCTTTGAACAATTCTCATTAGAAAACAACGATGCATATTGGAGCTTCAGAAACTGAAAATAACTTAACTAAAAAACATAATTAGAATAAATGAAAGTGCAAGAAAACAACACACAGTCCCATCTTATTAATATTAAAAATTCACATGTTTGACAGTGGTAGAGCCCGCTTTAACATCTTCGCACGAATTGGCCCTGCTCGCCCGGTTTAATACCACGACCGCACAGAAGACAGTCGTAAAGTGGAAGCAATTCCGCGTTTCGTCTGTTGAGTGTGTGTCACGGAGGCCTAATTAGTCCTCTTTCCTTTCCCACCCTTTTTCTTATAAGGAAAGGATGGGAAGTGGACTTTCCGGATAAAAGGATCCATGGAAAGAGAAAATATTTTCTTACTGTGAATCCTCTCCTCCGTCGATTAAAGGTAGGCAACATATGCAATTGCGTATGTCTATGGGCAACGGTCACTTCGCTATTTCAGCGATTTCAGGTGACCGCTCCCTCGTTTGCCACCTTATGATATAAAAAAAATGTTAAGATGGTTGGATGTTTGTTGGAAGATATCTCCAGAATGCCTCATCGGATCTCAATGAAATTTTGCATAAATTTAGAAAATAGTCTAGAAGAGAACATAGGCTGCTAATTGAGTTATTTTTAATCATGATCAAACGGAGTCGCGGACGAAGATTTACCTTTCGTCCAAACCTCTCGACTGTAGCCATCAGCACCAATGAACCAATGATCATCATTACAGGGAAGCTCAGCGATTGAATGTCTGGACTGATGCTGTACTGGATCCCGCTGGCTGTGAGGGTACTAGCACCATATGTGATGACTGACACCGCACCGTTCGTCGCATGGACAGTTATCATTAAGAGGATCAGAATAACTATCCGAAGCCAGTTCTTATTCTGTACTGTATCAACAAAAACAGAAGTACTTAGTGGATGGATGGATAGATGTTTGCTTGAAAGTATCTCCAGAACCGCTGAACGGATCTCGACGAAATTTGGCAATCATATAGAACATAATCTTGAAAACACATATAGGTTACTGTGATTTTTTTAATCTGCGTAGACTGAGGCGCGGGCGACAGCGAATATTATTATAATTGTCGATGTTTGGATGTACTCATGGATGGATGTTTTAAGAAGGTGTCTTCAGAACGGTTGTATAGATCTCGCTGAAATTTCGCTTATATGTAGAACAGATTGGCAAAATTAAGTTCTTATTTAACTAGTCACTTATAAAGTACAGACATATGCAATCAGGGCCATAGTCTAGGGTTTTAAGTACCTAAATACAACTAAATTAAAGCATTTACTTATGGATAATAATGAAATCCTAGGCACTGATTGGTAATATAATTCTTGTTTCCTCATTACGTCAATTTCTTTTTGAACTATTGCACTGTCAACTTCCACACCTCGGAGATGAGCTATCGTCTTTACAGCTTCCTAGAATAGCGACAAAAAAGCATTAGAAGAAAACAACATACAAGAATAGTTTAGTTAATATACTGCTGCTTGAACAGGATCCAAGACGCGAGGGTTTCTTTAGCCACTGCACGTTCGGTTTAGAACGCTCAAATAATATCAACACGCATCCTTAGGATTATCTTGGGACTATGTTGATGACCTGAAATCTACTACTAACCTCAAATTTACTCCTCTTGACAAGAAACGCTGGTGATTCAGGTGCTTTCAACATTAAAATAACAACCAAGATGGACATCGAAAGTGCAATCCATAAAACAGTAAAGTAATCGAGGAACGTTCCAATAGTGTACATGAGTAACACTCCTACATTCTGCGCCATAATAATCAGAGATCCGAGTAGACCACGGATATTGTCTTGGCTGATTTCTTTCACATACATTGGTATGACTAGGAAACATCCAGATGCTCCAATACCTGCGATTGCTCGTGCGACAATAAGACCTATGCGTGTTGGTGATGATACTTTGATTATCCAAGATAGCTGCAATGGAAAGAAATTAACATAGATTTGATTTTTATACGAACACATCGTTATGCTATTTTCTAACTCGTTAACGGTTACCTAATCAGTGGCTTACTGTAGATTTCTAATGCAAAATCGTCTAAGGAAAACACTTCGACGTTATCAGCTTAGTATGTGACCCAACTGAAGGGCTCAGAGTCTACCCTAAGTAAGGGGTGGTGGGTCAACCACACTGACTCAGTGCAGATTGACTTCACACATATCTTTGAATTTCTTTGCAGATATGTGCATGTTGCATCACGTTGTTTTCCTTCGCCGTTAAAACGTTGGATTAATTGAAATATGTAATCGAGAAACACAATAGTATACGTCGCTATTCGAAACCAGGAACTGCAGACAAGTTTACAGACAAACCCAGGAGCTGCTTAACCCCTGTGCCACCGACGCCCTTACTATTACAAAAGCTATTTACTATAAACTCAAAGAATTAAATGTGGTCATAGTTCACTCACCCCTTCGAAAACAGTAACACACATTATTGCAGGTCGACGACCGTAACAGTCAGAGATATAAGTATAAAAAGGAACACTTAATGTGGCAGTCATGAACAAAATGCTCGCCACCAAATAGATCTCATTGTCAGAAAGAGCTGCTCCAATCGGCGAAGGATCAGATTGCAGCACTTTTGTCATAGGTGACATCCAGCCTGTTTCTAGACCATATATAAATAACGTCGAATTCGCTGAAAATAACAAAATTATAAAAGAAATTAGAAAATATTAGTGATTTAGTACTATACAGGATGTACTAACAGTGGTAGAGCCCGCTTTAACATCTTCGCATGAATCGGCCCGGCTCGTCCGGTGAAATACCACAACCACACAGAAGACAGGCGTGAAGTGGAAGCAATTCCGCATTTCGTCTGATGAGTGTGCGTGCCGGAGGCCTAATTTAGTCCTCTTTCCCTTCCCACCCTTTTTCTGATAAGGAAAGGATGGGAAGTGGAAGTGGACTTTCCGGATGAGAGGATGCATGGGAAGGAAAGATATTTTCTTTCTGTCCATCCTCTCCTCCGTCGATTAAAAGTACGCTACGCATATGCAATTGCGTATGTCTATGGGCAACGGTCACTTCGCTATTTCAGCGATTTTAGGTGGCCGCTCGCTCGTTTGCCACCTTATGATATAAAAAAAAAATGTAAACCCTTCGCCGCGACGTCAACACGCGGACAACGCGTTGACGTTGTGCTAAAGGCTGATGATAAAAGTATATCTTTTTATAGGAATATGAAGGAGAGAATGTTTTTGTGGTCATGTATGATTGACGCCTATGTGTACTTATTCGTAATTTACCTATTAAAGCCCAAATCCATTGCACTCTTGTATGTCCTACGCGGTCCCTAGATTGATCTACCTTTTCTAACATTTTAGCATAAAAAGTAACACACTATAATTTAACTAAATCACCCTTAAAATTGAAATATATGTGAAAGTTTTAATTGTATCTCATTATTTCGATGTAACAATTATTTTAGAACAATCGAAACAACCACAATACACTAGATAAGAATCTTTTATAACCATAATATTTATTATATACAGGATGTTATATTTGTTGAGTGATAAAATTGCATAATTTACCTTTAAAAGTAAACTATTCGCGATAAGAACAATATATCAACATACACATATAGTTAAAGTATTTATTGACCTTTCTAACGATTGCACTAAGCTGTCATTTTTATCTTAAAATAAAACAAATGGCAGTGACTCACTAATTTTCAACCTCTCCAAAGTGACACACTAGCAAGTGGTTAATTCGTATTGCCAAAATAGCGAAACGATCGCTGCCTATTGAGACCTGCTAAAGGTTAGTAAGTTATTTGGTTGCTTTGCAAAGGCAGCTGTTAAAATGTTTGTTGATATGAGGAAGGGAGGAAGACTTATCGCACTTTCTAATTATAACTGTAAAAAACATGAATTAGTAACCTTTAAAAAAGATAATTTACGAAAGATTAAAAAGAAAATATCAATTGGAGAAGAGGAAAAGTCTACGTCACCTCAGACAAAATGCGAAACTGAGAAGATGCCCTTTATTCACGCAACGTACCAATATTTATTTAACTTCACCAATGTAAATCTGGTTGAATTCAGAAAACTAAACAATAGCACAGAAGCCTTATTTTATGACATACCAGACTAAATCAAGAGCTTAACTAACCTATCTAACCGTCTATAACATAAACAAGAAAAAAGCTCTAAATATTAATATTAACATAAAATATTCTTATGAACATCCTATAATATTCCATAGTAACGTGCTTAGATATAAAATCAGTAGACAAGCACTTTAAATGGAAAATTTTCTATACACAAACAGAGAAACAAAGAGATGAGTTCTACTACACAACTGTAACGCTTAAGCATATGTGAATTAGAAATGATTAGTGATACTGGTAACGATTTAATTTCTGTACTTATCTCTCTCTCAAAGGCAACTCATCTGCAGTTAGTCTGATGTTGCAGATGAACATGCGCGTTGATGATTTTGAACGTGTCTATAATTTAAAATATGACAGTTTATTTTTCTATAAACCACCATCACACGTAAATTTACCCCATGCGAGAAATGCAATTCTCTCTAGTCAAAGTTGCCGACCCTCCGTAGAGAAAACAGTAATATGTTGATGATGTTTTCACCCTTAAAATAATTAAGTGGAACATTCATATTAAGACATTACATTCATACGATTTTTCTAAATGAATAAGCAAAACGCAATATCAAGACATTTACAGGATTAATTGGATTAAAATGAACAATACCAAGAATACTTCTTAATATTACATAATAAATAAATAAAACTCACGCAAAATAATTTAATAAGTGATTTAATAGCATTTTATAAAACGATTTTTGATGAAAGAGCATCTAACAATGTATCGTGATGATTCTAAATTTAGTTTTAAGCGGCCATAACGCAATTTTTGACGTCAAACGTAAATCAACAAATACTTAATGTGACAGGTTGATTTTGGGAAAGATTTATTTTTTCTGATTAAACAACGTTAAGAATGTTTGAACAACTTTAGTTGTTTTAACATTGGCCCTGTTTACTTTTATATATATCTGACTTATGTAAAATTTCGCCAAGTTCACGGCTGTTACGAAAAATTGTTAAATAGATATTTTTTAGGTTTTTTTTAGGCTTTTCACTTCGTTCTTTAAAATCCGAAGAATATTGATGTAAAGAAATAGGATCAAATTTATTAGAAGCTCCACACGTAATTTTATCCTTCTCCAAAAGGCAGAAGATTTTTTTGGTCAAGACTTCCTATATAGATTATTCGAAAACAAGGGTGTTTCTTAGTTTGAACAAGAGTCTAGTGTTCGCAAAAATAAAAGTTATTCGTAATGTTAATGTTATATTGAATGAATCAAGTGATAATTGTATCACCCTGTATATTGAAATGTCATGTCTCGTGAGCGGACGAAAATAGCGTACAAATAAAGGGGTTACTACGTGAATTATTACATACGACTCGATTGAGTAAATGTCGTGTTTATGTGTAAATATAGAATAATCTTTACTATCTTACGACGAATATTTTCCATTGTAACACTGTTCTTGGTAAATAATACTTTGTTCACATCTTAATCCTCTAACTTCTAGCACTACCACCGCCCTGGGCGAGATATTTACTACAGCCCTTTTACCATGCCTTTTTGCAGGGTTACTTGAGATTGTGTAAATCGCAGACCGCAGACCTATGAAACCTCTTTGTTGTCCAATCGCGCCCTACTAAAACGACGGTATTTTTCCTACAAAATAGCATTTAAAGGGTTACCACTACAAACTTTAGAAGGTCATAGTAAGTAGTAAGTTTTCAAATGTAAAATGGATATATAAATATACTTCGAAATATTAAGGTACATGTCTATAGACCTTTATTATTTATATTATTCAAAAAATAAACATTCTCTTTAGAATAAAATAATTTTTACTACTAGTCCTGTCACTCCCTTGGTCATAAGCTAGCCAACACTTTCATTAGTTAAGTTTTTATATGTATGAGAAACATTCTAGCAAATTACGTTTATTATATTAATATAATAACTGTCGCCTGCTACTCCGTTCGCGTATATTTAAAAAAGTAGGCTTTGTATTCTTCCAAACTATGTTTTATATCTATGCCAAATTTCATCAGGATCCGTTACTATGTTCTGGAGCTTCTAACATCCATACATCCATCTAATCTTTCACATTTATATTAGTAAGAAGTAAGATTACTGAGAAATGGAATGAAATAATGCACCTGGTATAAAAGATTTCCAATTATGAGTAAGAAATATTGTGTACAATAGACGATGGTGTTTAAAAAACTAGGAGAAACAAGTGCTCGGCTTATTATTCCTAACCATTGTTCCTTGTATAAACATAATATTGCGTAAAACTGATGAAATGCATACGTTTCTCCGCCGCCGAGCTTATGTGCTGTCTTAAATGTGAATTTATTACCTTTAATATGTAAAATTTAATAGAAAATGGATCGTTGGTTTAGATTAGTTGTGTTCTTTATAGTTTTCTTTTATAAATTTTATTACTCAAAAGTTCAAACTGGTAAGCGCATCTCGTTTATTTATTTAAGTAAAACTGATTGTGTACACGAATATTGTAAAGAGGAAAGATTTGTTTCTTAGTGTTGAATTATCTCCGAAGCTACTGAACCTATTTAAAAAAAATATTTCTATATCTACTCTGTGGTAATAGATGTAAAACATAGTCTGGATGAACACATAGACTTCTTATTGAGTTTTTTTTTTGCCGCGCGTATGGAGTCGTGGGCAAAGGTTAGCATTAATTAATTTTCATAGGTTTTATTAAGAAAAAAAAACAAGAGAAATGTACAAATTTCTATGTAATTGCAAATTACATTGTTTTTATGTAGATATAATATTCTTATTATAATAATGAAATTATCAAATCATTCGCAGCATCAACACAAAGAGCTGATTTAGAATGCGAATTCCCGCCAAAAATGGAGGAAGATCTAACACATGTGAGAAGAAAAAGATTAACAACGGAGACAGGACTTGTCTGCTTAGAAGATTATCCGTACACAGTGTCAATAAGGTTATAGAATTTTCTTAATAATTTTATATACTTAAAAATGGCATGACCATAAACATTTTAAAAAATTTACTATTTATGTATTATAATATTCGAACTTTATGGCTGCTCGAGGCTCTATCTACAAAGGACTACAGGTAGAGGTTATCTCCGACACCTAAATTGTGTACTGTTCAGTGTTTTGTTGCGTAATTGCGAAAGGCTTTAAAGTTTGATGAGCACTGTAAAATATATTTTTTTATATCTTTTATTAGTTGATACGCGTATCAAATCTAGGGGTGACAAACCCACAATCACAAATATTGCGGCAGCATTTCTAAAACTACTAAAGTTTGAGTTTGTTTATAAACATAGCTCGCTACCTTTTCGACTTTCTATTGTCTTATTAGGTAATTTCGCAAATGTTTGAACTTCAGATAAGAACAGTGTACGTAAGTCTGAATTAAACAATGTACTAACATTTAGGTTAGACCAAGATTGAATACTAGACCTATAGACATAATATAGGAATCTTATAAGAAACCCATTTTAAAAGAAAAATTTAATTTTGGAAACAGAGAAATAGTACTATAAAATACTATATTTTAGTTACATAGATTTTTTTAATTGAGGTAAAATGTTTATAACAGCTAATGCGTTTATAGATACGCGACTAAAAACTTTTATTCAAAAATATTTTGTAATTTATATGCGTAAAATTAACAATAAAAGTTCTATAATGTAACCGTAAACTTATTCATCATCAACCTGCCCTTATCCCTATCGAGGGTCGGCACAGCATGTACTACTCCTCCATACATCTCTATCAGCTGTCATATCCGAGTCTACCCCCTTATTATACTCTATGATTTCCGATAGATTATAAAAAATAAAAAAAGAAGAAATACATGAATTTCTCTTAATAGAAGAAACTTCTTTTATAAACAAACAAGCAGTCTATAAAAAGCCGCGTTATCTCTTGTGTACTCAGTAATGTTATTCTATTTCTGAATAAACAAATAATATATCTCTTTCTGATAAATCTAAGAAGAGATTTATAGGTTATGTTATTTCTTTAAAATTAGCTATCTCATAGTAAAATTATAACTTTTTACACAATTATTTATCTTTTGTCTATACTTTTTTCTTAATTTTTGTTCGTCTGACAGATGATGATTTTGGCGGGAATGTTTGTGTACATGTCAAATATGTTTAGTCTAAATCAAAAGATGCTTGAGTCAAGACCGTATATTTAGTTTGCTCTGAAACTTATATACTTGTATATATAGGCTAAGAGCTTATTTGATAATTACGTCTAGAAGTTAGGTTCCGAATTTGGTTTATGTTTGTAAATCTTAACCTAATTGGAAATGAAAAGTTTAAAGTTTGAGGTTATTTATTTTTAATCATCGTAGTTTTATAAATCTGCCAGTTGTGTATAAATTTATTTTTAATAATTATTATCTGTGTAAGTATAAATATTATTTATATGTACAGATTGCACGGCAAACACTGGTGCGGAGGTGCAATTGTAGGGAAGCAGTGGGTTCTCACGGCAGCGCAGTGTTTTGATTAGTAAGTAATTATTTATTATAAATGCCAATGTAAACCTACTAAGATCTATTTTCCACTAAACGTTACCGCCTTTTCTAGAAATATCTAAGTAAATATTTCCACTGGTGCGCGCGGCGGAAAAAGCCATAAAAGTTGCATACAAATTTTCAAATATTTGCAAATGAAATACCTAACTTTACTTATATTTAATTATTATTTCTAAGCTATATTTCTATAATATTAATTCTATAACTTAGTGTATCCAAAGAAGAAGTGACAGTGCGAATGGGCTCTGTCTTCCGTGACTTCGGGGGACGAATCCTGGCGGTGACGAACGTCGAGAGACATCCAGATTACAAGATGGATCAATATTATCCTGAACATAACCTTGCTATGGTCAAGGTAAGAAATGTTACATTGACCTAATAAAAAGTATAAAGGTGTAATTCCACAGGACGTGGTATACGGAAATTGATTCGGATATGCAAATGTCGTGAGTTTACTTTTTCTAGCGAAATCGCACCTTAAACAACGATCTTACGTGAAGTGACTAGGAAATAATAAAAGAATAGGTTAAACAAATGGCCTATGGATTTAAAAATTATCTACCTAATATTTTATTTGCCGACTAATTTTATATATATAAAAGAAAGTCGTGTTAGTTACACTATTTATAACTCAAGAACGGGTTTACCGATATGCCTAAAAATTGGTGAGGAGGAAGCTTAGAGCCAGGAGACGGACATAAGATACTATTTATTCATTTTTTATATATATCCACGTGGACGGAGTCGCGGGCGACAGCTAGTTATATATAAAATTATCAATTCGTCCGTATTTTGATTTTTTTTATCGAAAGGATTTATTTACCAGTTGTCGCCCGCGATTCTGTCCGCGCGGAATTAAAAAAAAACATAATAAAGTAGCCTGTGTGTTCTTCCAGACTATGTTCTATATCTGTGCCAAACTTCATCAAGATCTGTTGTGTACTTTCAAACGAACATCCACCATCCATCTAAACATTAGCATTTATAATATTAGTAAGAAACTCAATGAAGGCCTATGAATATAGAAATGAGAGAGTAGGTCCACGACAAATAGAGGTCCTTGGTCTCTGGCCACTTCTAGTTTAGTGAGCTATGTTGTTTTGTATGAAGTTTGCATAGTTATATGATTACAGGTAAACGCCCCAATCACGTACAACAACAGAATACAAGCGGTGACTTTACCACTCGCTGAGACATCTCTGCCATTCATGTTTGGTGAAACTATTGTTACTGGATATGGCTCTGTTGTGAGTTATTTTATATTATTTCAAAGACATGATTTTTTACATACTTACATACGTTACTACGTTTACGTGGTAATAAAAAACTTAGTAGCGTGTGTTCTTCCAGACTATTCTACATCTATGTTTAATTTCAGCGGTTTTGGAGATACTTTCTATCAAATATCGATATATCCAAACATTCGCATTTATAATATGAGTAAGATGTATGTTTTACTAGCTGCCTGTTAGCGCGGAATTAAAAAAAACTGAATAAGTAACCTATGTCTTCTACCAGACTATATTCTACATGTGTGCCAAATTTTATTAAAATCCGTTGAGCCGTTCTGGAGATACCTTCAAACATCCAACCATCCATCTAAACTTTCGCATTTACAATATAAGTAAGATGTATGGGTTCGTATGTTCATCAATTCCATTCATACTTCCTGCAACTTAACCTTCGTATTCTTTCCGTGAATAATGGCTGTAATAGACGGATTTTTTTTCTAAAAAAAGGATCTTGACAGACAGACGGACGGACAACATTGTGATTCTATAAGTGTTCCGTTTTTTTCTTATGAGGTACGGAACCCTAAAAAAGGGGTTTTTATTCTTTAAATTGTATAATCTTTGTATACAGGTGACAGGTCAAATCAGAGAAGGTGAAAATCAGGAGTTGAGACGTATGATAGTACGCGAAGTGCCGCGAGCAGAATGCCGGTTGATGTACGGCAATGATTATCATTTGCAGCACGATCACATCTGTCTGCAGAGTGTCACTAGGGGCGTCGCCTTGTGCGCTGTTAGTTACATTTACTCTTGAAATTACAACTGCCCATATAATCTATGGTATCATGGAATTATTTATTTAAAAATATTGTTGAGAGCATCGGTGGCTTGAGAGTTAAGCACTTGACTTGCAATTTGCAGGTCTTGGGTTCGAATCCTGCATGTATCAATGTGTTTTTCGATTTACATATGTATATCTGACGTATTTACGGTGAAGGAAAACATCGTGATGCAACTTATATCTGCAGAGAAATTTAAAGATATGTGTAAAGTCAACCCACAGTGGGCCAGCGTGGTTGACTATGGCCTAATCACACCTAACTTAGGGTAGGCTCTGAGCCCCTCAGTGGGTTTAGAGCTGACGATCTATTGGAATATCTGTATCGCAGTGTAACATTAATATTTTTGACAGGGCGACACTGGCGACCCCGCCGTACATTTCAGTGGAATGAATCGTGCGGGCACATTGTACGGTATCGCGCTTTTCTCTGGCACAGAGGAGTGTGCTTACAAGTCGAAACCAGGAATATTTGCCAAGGTATTTTTTCATATCAAAGTCTTCCTAAGAAATAAAAACACTTATTTTCTATTTTCATGAAGAAGGTCATTTACAAAAAGGGGATATAAAAATGTTATTTTCAGGTCTCCTTCAGTAGAACGTGGATTGAGAAAATATTAATCGGCAAACCAGAGCCGTTTGAGAGCGCTGACAGCGGCGAAAATGAAATACCCCTAGATATTATTAATACAGATTAAGCAAATTGTATCTTAAAAATATAAGCTATTTTATTATTAAAAATTTGTTTTTTCTTTCTTCCTAATGTTTTGTTTCAATTTTAAAAGAATTTCCATATACTACCTCCATTTAACCTACTTTTAAACTTATATTGGTTGTTGCGTGGTTTGGAACGTAAGATCACAAGCTGACTGACCGACTGTCAATGTCAATTTTTTACAGATGTTTGTATAAGAGGGGTTATGTTTGCATAAAACAAATAATTCTACTATGATGTATTATAACTTTTTAATTTTTGTATAATTAAAATAAAAAAGTTTCTCAAATGAAACTTTTTCGCATGTTAAAGTGATGATCGACAGTATAATATGGCGATTATGATCTATTTTGAGAGTAAAGAAATTCGGTTGGGTTCTGTCCAAAGGTTAAGGTTTTGGGCATGAGTTTGGACCATTTGGGAAAAGAAGTTCCCGCCTGACGTGCCACTGACATGGACGAATTTAAACTTCGAGCTGGGGAGAAATTGGAAGCATTTCAAGTAAGTTTTATTTCATGTTTTATTACACGACTTAAACGTATCATATATATTACAATCTTCTCCTATTTTCTACGTAAATCCACCGAAACATAATTATTAAACATAGTTTTGATTAACTTTGTGTATTATATTAGTTTTTATTCTTATAACAATGTCATTGACTCAGTTGCAATGAAATGACCATGAAAATTATGTAACAAATTTGAACACTAACTCTTTAAAACTTAAAGATACTTTATAATTTTAAATATGATTTGATTATTTATTATTTCTTAGGTTTTTTTAATACATTTTAACTCCCATTTATTTCATTATAATTGTAAACACATACTTTTTATTTCAAAACATTTCTATTTGAACCAAAGGCATTTTATAGTACTTGAGTTAAATACTTACTAATAAAGATAGTTTGAACTGTACTAAATTCTAAAATACATAGTTTTTTTAACGAAATATCCCATGTTATATATTATAATAATAAGGAACTATAAATATTTATTTCAGTAATTATCCTTGTTCTTTCTTGAACTTAATATACATAATATATATACAAAAACATTCAAATATAGTACTTGTCACCCTCAATTCAGTCTACACAGAATTAAAAAAATATATAAGTAGCCTATGTTTTGTATGCTTGTCAAATTTCTTTGAAATCTTTTGAGTTGTTTTCAAAATACCTTCTAACCAACATCCATCCATCCATCTAAACTTTCACATTTATAATATTAGTAAAAAATAAGATTTAGCAACAAATGGAGCTTATTACAAATTTTTACATATGATTTATGATATGTCAGTGAAAATTTATAACTGAGAAAGAAAAATTGCTGATATAGAACCGACCGAAAATGTATTTCATGATGTTCTGTCTTATGAATATGTATAAAATTCCAGGAGGCAGCTAAAGCAGCGGCAAACGGAGGAAAGAATAGAGTACAGGATGTAGCTTCACAAACAACTGAACTTGTAAGAAGGGTAATTATGTTTATCTCTGTTTTTAATAAGGAGAATGAATGGGATGACTATATGTTTCATCACATTTCTACAATCAATAATTAAGCAGTCTAGTTTTGTTTTTTATATCATGTTGGCTGGATTTCAATCAAAGATCCTTGACTTAGTTTAGAGATTCATGTTGGGCCAATTGTTTTGAACCTTGGATTGTGCAATAAAAGTATGATTAACACAACATTTAGTAATATTTGGGATGTAGTTATATTAAAATTATCTTTAATATGGTTTATACCCGAAGATCTTTATCCGTTTCATCCATCCAACGATATCTGGACCCAGTGGTCATACTGGACCCAGTGACCATTGGGTCGTCCCATATATAAATGTTTGCGTTGACGGGACTGGGTTGGAATGGTGGGGATCTAGGAAAGTGGGGGACTTTTGTTTTGCTGCATCACCCTAGTTATTGTTCATACCACTCATCAGACCGAAGACAGAATTACTTTAACTTCACGACTATTTTCTGTCTGGTGGTTGTACTGCATCAAGCAAGTCATTCAGACTCTACTGTTAAGTTAAATAAAATTCTCTTTAACTTTGTAGATACACGAGGCATTCATAGAATTATGGCAGAACGAGTTATTCGTTGAGAGTAGAGAGCGTGTTGGTGTTTGGACGAGAGATGCGGTGCAACGGATCAAAGATGGCGCCCCACCGCTGTCGCCTGTGCTGCTTTATGAAGAACTGGTTGCACTGTTTAAGGATAGAAGTAAGTTAGGCTTTATAATTTAATTCTACTAAGAACTACCAATCGGATTTGAATTTTTTTTTTCATTTGACACCCATATTATGGTGGAGGTTATCAGTGATTTCCAAAGTTGTCTATTAGGACCCACTGGGGTCTACTTACAACCTGGTGAATGTAATTTGGAGATAAATGTTGAGAGTTTACAAGGTAAAGAAAATAAACTGATATATAAAAACGGCTAAACACGGTATATTCGTCCGGTGGCGGCACCGACTAGTTTCGAGCCCGTCGGTGCCCTTCATCAGGATGAGTGGTACTGGTATTACTTCGCGGACGCGGTCGGCGCTAGTCGGTGCCGCCACTTTTACGTTTAGTATAATGTCTCACGAAAGTTTGAATAATTTAATAGTAAAGAAAATAGTTTTGGAGCCTCTAGTAACTACACCAGATCAGAATAGTATTTTATAGACATTGTAAAGGAGGTCTTTCTTGTTTCAGTGTGGCGTCGTAGCGTGGCTTTATTCGCATGTGGAGTAGTACTAGGCGGCAGTGCGGGGTTATTACTAGGTCTGCGGGCGTCAAGCCGCGTGTCCAACGGGCCGCACGCGCGTGCGCTGCTCGCTCAGCCAGACAGAGCTGTGCTGTTGGTCGACGATGCGGTAACGCCAGGTTTGCATTACATATAGTGAGTGTTCTCGATTCAAGTCTCATTTATGCATAAATTACTATAGTCGTTTTCAGATATCTTAGTGCCTTGGAGATTTCACTGTGCAGCGCGCACATGTTCTTAAGCCGTCAAGATATTTGAAATGAATTTTAATTTCGATCGTATTTCACTTATCATTTAAACGCTACTAATTGTTCTCGATTGTAATGCACTTTTTCAAACTTCTTTATCGCTACTACTGGTACTCGATCGTAACTGACTTTTACTATTTAATACTATTTGCCGCCCGCGACTCCGTCTGCGCGGAATTAAAAAAAAATATGTGTTCTTCCAGAATATGTTCTATATTCATGTCAAATTTCATGGAGATCTATGTAGCCGTTCTGGAGATATCTACTAACTAACATCCATCCAAACATTGGTATTTATAATATTAGTATGATTTTCGTTCATCACGCTTTGTCTTCTACAGCCTTTTAACTTCAAAGCGTGCTGTGCTTTATTAACACTTTTACTATCGTGTCACAGAGTAGAAATACAGATTTTTAATTTCATTTAAAAAAATATATGTTAGTGATTTTAAAAGTCGACGTTTTACGATTTGAATTGTGTTATATAAGGAGCGGGTCCGGGGGAAGTGTTAGTTCGGGTGCAGGCGTTCAGTGTGTGCGCACGTGACCGCGCCGTGCTCCGCGGACGTGCCGCCGCATTGCGACCTCTCATCACACGCTCACAACTCTCTATCGGACGGGGATTTGCTGGTGAGATTATATTTAATAGAAACAAATTTAAAATATATGATTAGACGCTTCTTCTTTTTATAACTCAAATTCCTCTATTAATTTTATTTTTACTATTTGTCATTCGATCGAAACTCACTTTAGACTCACAACGATTACTTTTACTATTTGTTCTCGATTGTAATTCACCATACATATATTTATTATTTATTTTCCATATAGCTAATTCACTAACTTCATATCGCTACTACGTTTTTGTTAATAAATAAAAAAAAAGTCAATAATTCTTACGAAAATTAAATTTCACTAAGGTAAATTTTTATATATACGTAGGTGTAGTACTGGACGCAGGGCCGGGGGTGTCGTTAGAGTTAGGGGATGAAGTGTGGGGCTGTGTCAGTGAGTGGAGCGGAGGTGCCGCCAGTGAGCTGCTCACCATCAGAAGGTCAGTGTTCACCACGACTCACCACTTTTTACCACTACTCACCAAAAACAAAAACATATTCTGATGCCAGTTTTTTTTTTTAGAAAATTTGGGACAATATGTTTTCCACCAATGTTAAAATTATGTTTCTATATTAGTATATAGTATATACATTAGTATGTTACAAAAAAAAAGATTTAATTGTTTGGTTTTCAATGAAAAGACTCCAAACTACTGAACCAATTGGAATTTTTTTTAATCTTTGCAAGCAACACTATCTCAAAGTGACATAGGCTATTTTTATTACTAGTTTTTATTTATTCTATCGTATAAATTACTAATTAATTGATAAAAAATAAAATAAATACAGCACCATATTTCCCTTGACCCATTTCACTAAATAACTAACATTTAACTCTAGTACACGAGTAAGCAAACGTCCTCAAGGCTTGGCAGCGGACACCGCCGCGTCTCTACCCTGGGCGGGGTCTCTGGCATTAGAGGCACTGGATAAAGCTCCCTACGGACTCGAAGGATGGAAGGGAAAACGGTCAGTTATATAATTTAACACATAAGAGAAACCACCCAGAGAGAGGTACGCTTGGGTTTCTGAGACGTAAATCCCCATTCGAAACTGTATTTCTGTTTTGTTAGAGATAAAGGCTGGGATATGTTTTCAGAGAAATTTTGGCCTCAGAAAGCAACGTTAAGACAGTGAATATAACTTTATAAAATTAAATTAAACGACAAAATATTCAACTGATGACTAACAGATGGCGCTAAAGTCAATTTTTATATTACAAAGTGGCAAATTTGTAAACGACTGAATTCGCCAAAATAGCGAAACGACCATTGCCCATGGACATCATTTGCAGCGTTGCCTACCTTTAATTGACGAAGGAAGAAACCTATCCTATGCTTTCGTAAAATTACGCCAAAAAAGAAAAAAAATAACTAAAAAGTGACCTTTGCAAATTATATTGACGGTAGTAGAATAATAATGGATATAACATCATAGATTAAGTAATATTTGCAGAGTGGCCATCATTGGAGCGACGACGGGCGAAGGTCTAGCGCTCCTGCAGCTGCTCAGCCGCAAGGGAGCCCGCGCCTGCACCGCAGCCCCGCAACAACATCGCACTACGCTACACGACTTTGGTAATTATAATTTTACAAAAGAAATTACAATTTTACAAAAAAAATATAATTTTACAAAAAAAAATATAATTTTACAAAAGAAACTATAATTTTACAAAAAATGCTATAATTTTACAAAGATTTAATTTGCTTAAAAAATACTTACGCAAGTTTTACAAAAATGCGAATAATCAACTCCAATTTTACTAAGATGGTAAGAAATATTTTTTTACAATTTTACAATGTATGGAATATTTGGCAAGTTTTACAAATTAAAATGGATTAAATAATTACTCTATCACAAAAATTATTACAAAAGTCGAGAGTTTTGTTATTTTACAAATAGAGAAAGTAATATTACAAATTTACAAAAAATGCATCAGTTTTACAAAGTTATGGTTCTTTACAGTTTTTTATTTCTATCTTTCTAATATTATAAATGCGAATGTTTAGATGGATTTATGTTAGAAAATATCTCCAGAACGGCCCTACAGATCTTAATGAAATTTGTCATACATATAGAACATATTCTGGAAGAACACATAGGCTTATTAAGTTTTTTTTTAATTCCACGGGGAGAGAGTCGCGGGTGTAAGCTAGTAAAGAAATATTTTATATCAGGTAGTGCAGAGTTCATAGAGACGGATGGTTCGCGGTCGTGGGCGGGAATAGAGGCGAGTGCAGTACGTGCCGGTCTGTGGGACGCGCTCTTCTGCTGCGACGCGCAACACACGCCGCCTGCAGCACCGCAACATCTCGCCGCACTACTCAAGTACGCACTCACACATACTAGCTGTCGCCCGCGACTCCGTTCGCGCTGGATTAAAAATATTGGCCGATTATCAGACCTACTCAATCTGCTCACAATTTCATGAGAATCGGTCAAGCCGTTTCGGTGGAGTATGGGAACGGAAATTGTGACACGAGAATTTTATATATAAGATATACATAGTGTTATGAAGAAAATCCGACACTGTGCCGGTGTACTGGCACAACACTAGCCTTATTAAAATATCATTTATCCCCTCACTAATCATTCTGACGCTTGACTTTGTAATGCGCGCTATTCGCGACAAATGATTCTGAAGGAAAGTATGTTATCCGCTATTTTGTGATGTCGGTCATTTTGGAGTCAGAGTACTAGTCAAGCTGTTTCATTTGGTATCCATTTTAGATGATGTACAAATATATTAGGTGCGCAACTAAGTTCTCTCTGTTTGTCAGTAGATGGCTCTAGCAGTAAGAGCTGGTCGATTTTGACATATCCAGAACGTCATGAACCAAGCTTAGACATATGGTAAACAAACCGTTGCGACACATGAGTGATTTTGTTTTCGCATTATATACTTCTGGTCAAGTAAAAATGTCGAATTTCGTGCCAAACAATAATACGTAAATATATCATCTGCCATTTTGTAATGGCGTCCATCTTGGATTTAATAAATTTTTCTATATTCCACTTGGAAATTCCTTACATATGATACCCATGTTAAAGTGGTTGTAAGAAAATATATGATTCGATATTGACAGTGGTATGGATTTTTTTTACAGTGCACTGTGGTTATTGTAAGTCGTGGTTACATCCAATTTAATTTAACTAAAAACTTAAAAATGAATAGTTCAAAATACTTACTTTTTTTATATCAAAAGATGGCAAACGAGCGAGCGGCCACCTGAAATTGCTGAAATAGCGACGTGACCGTTGCCATAGACATACGCAATTGCATATGCGTTGCCTACCTTTAATCGACGGAGGAGAGGATGCACAGAAAGAAAATATCTTCCCTTTCCATGCACCCTCTCATCCGGAAAATCCACTTCTACTTCCCATCCTTTGCTTATAAGAAAAAGGGTGGGAAGGGAAAGAGGACTAAATTAGGCCTCCGGGACGCACACTCATCAGACTGTAGTTAGAATAGCTTCCACTTGACGCGTGTCTTCTGTGTGGTCGTGGTATTTCACCGGACGAGCCGGCACAATTCGTGCGAAGTTGTTAAAGGGGGCTCTACCACTGTAACTTTATTTTTCATTGTATTTCTTAGGTCAACAGCTCCGAAACGCGCATTCATAGACTTACGACCGAGCGTATTGTTGACAGACCGCCTGCCCACACCAATCTGGCTGCTGTTCTGTGCTTCTTTCTATACTTATAGAGTGTTAAGAGTAAGTTAAACTGTTTCTTGTATATATTATATTTGGTTTAATATTAAACATCGTAGAACTAAATCTATTAACTATTTTAAGGTTGACTAATTCATAGTTAACAACGCTGGTACAATGCTGTTTGCTTGACTACTAAAACTTTTTTTTTGTTTAAATAATTAATAAGATTTGATTAAGATTTGTATGTATGTTTGTATCAGTGTTTCCTTGGTCTGGGTAACCACACGGACTGGCTGGAACGACCGCGCCAGTTGTCTCCAGGACTGGACCAGCTCGCTGCACTGGTCGACTCCGGGTACCTCACGCCAGCTCTCGATAAGGTATATTTATGTACTATTTTCAAGAAACTCAAAGCTTTTAGGTAAATCGTAAAATCAATATTAATGAAATGCCTAAATTATTCCAATTTGCAGTCCAAGTAATAACTACATCGATAAAATCTATTACTTTTTCAATCGGGTTAATAAAAAATGATATGAAAAAAATATTGAAGAAGAAAAGGGATATCTGACAGGGAAAGGGATGGACGGTTTTTATTTACATTTAAAAATATGTTATAACTTTATCAATTTGATTTCAATTAAATATAATAATCCGTCCGTCCGCAATTGCATATCCGTCGATTACAGACGCATATGCAATTGCGTATGTCCAGAAACATGGTACCGTTGCCCATAGGCAATGGTCGCTTCGCTATTTCAGCGATTTCTGGTGGTCGCTGATCATTTGCCCACCTTATGATATAAAAAAAATTTCAGGTGTACCTACCCCAAGACTTCGAAGCGGCGTTAGCTCACGCGTGCAGTGACGAAGCTATCGGTACCACAGTTATACGGTTCCCGTAACTTTCGTCAACCTTACTGAAGAATTGAAGAAGAAAAGAACCGTCTAGAAAGCAAAAAAAACCTCTACTGTAAGTTTTAAGTCTTCCTTAAGGTCAGAAATATCTTTCACGACAATCCAGTCATCATCATCAGCTCACTATACGTCCCCACCGAGGGGCTCGGAGCCTTCCCTAAGTTAAGGGTGATTAGGCCATAGTCAACCACGCTGGCCAAGTGCAGGTTGCATCACGATGTTTGCCTTCACCGTAAGAACGTCGGATAAATGTACATATGTAAAATCGGAAATCGAAAAACACATTGGTACATGGCGGGATTCGAACCCAGGACCTGCAGATTGCAAGTCAAGTGCTTGACCACTGAGCCACCGACGCTCTGTGGTCGAGGTCGACAATCCAGTGAATTAGGTAAATTTGAACATTGGTCCAAGTGACTTTAATAACTTTGAACAATGGTCCATCTAGTAAGAGGTATATGATAAAATGTCGAAACGAATTTGCCTGTTTTCTAGTGAGAATCAATTTTTATAATTTGTTAGTCACGACTTGTCTAAAAAGTCTAAACTTCCGCAAATATTGAAATTTCTTCAAGCAAAACCTCGATAAAACCCTTGTTCATTCAATTATTCTTCTCTTATACCATTTATAATTTTAGTAACATTATATCCTCTTTACTAATTTATTTTATCTTTCCAAAAATTTTAGTTTAGGTAAATTTAGTCGAGTTGTATACATTATTTTTAATTTTAATGAAATCTTGAATTATTCAAAACTTAAGGTGGTTTTTGTTTGATATATTATATATATTTTTTAATTATGTTTATTAAAGTTATACAAAGGAATGTCTGCAGCACAAACGTTTTTTTTGTGTATCTTACACATTAATAAGAAAACTTGGCACAAAATACATTTATGTAAATATTTATGTATTAAAAAATAACCAAAGATTTTTTGCAAAATCATTTAAACATCACAATGAAATATAATTCTGTTATATTTTTGTATATTTGCGAAATATTGATTTTGAAATAATTGTTGATAATGCCATATTGTATTATTATATTAAAATGTGTAACATTAAATTAGCCATTTTGTAAAACACATAAAATTATAGACGATTATTTCTTACTAAATCAATTTTAATGTAAAATTTATAATGTTTTTGTAAATATTTATTAAATAAATGTTCCAAAATCCGTTGTGATCAAAGACTGTTCAAAACGCAATGTTACTAAACAGATCTGTATATAGTTATACAAAAGCCATATAAATGTAACAATATTTTTAATTGTAACATAAATCAGTAACATACATGTTACATGTTTTAAATTGTAACATACATGTTACATTTAAAAGTGTAACATACATGTTACAATATTTAATAGTTTTAATTTGTATCAAGGGGTGTTATTTACGTCCATAATTAGATTGAATTTACACTTTCTTTTTAATGACATAAATTAAAGAGTAATGTGGCAATTTTTTTATGTTACATTTAAAAGTATTCGTGTACATTGACTAAGGGTTTAGGTGCTAAATGTATATTAAGGTTAAAATTATCAGTTACCTACAAACCTCATAGTAATGTACATACGAAACAATATTAATCAAATGTAATTAGATAAGATTGTTATTTTGAAATAAATGTTTTTATAACAAATCAATGCAATCTTTTGATCACTAAGGCAGACGCTTAGTGTAAATTTCGCATTCTGTGTCCTTTCCAGATTTCGGCGGATCAGTTCAACCGGACCGAAGGTATCTTCAAACAAACGTCCATCGAAATTCGAATATATAATATTAGTAAGATTTGGGTGAAATGAAACACATAATATACTTTGAACCGCATATATTAAACACAACCTTAATATATCCATGCAATAACACCAATAGTCGACAAAACGCACTACGAACACTAGCCGTTATTAAATATGAATACTGATCTATAAGATACAATTTGATTTATTCGCCACTAGATGGCGTTGTACACAATTTATAATTTTACACAAAATTCATATTAAAATTACAATGTGTAAAATCATAATTATTCCTTTATAACAGTAATATTGTTAGTTTATATAAATAATTAAAAATAATACCATAATAGTCTGAAAATTGTGGAAATGACAAAGAAATTCATTCGGGTTTCGAATGACACTTATTGACACATGTCTCTGTTTTATTCAAACATAATGAAAGAGATGGCAAGATATGTGTCAATAGAAGTCAAACACAAAAAATTAATTAATTTCTAAATTCCATAACATAACCCATAACATCACTGGAATGTAGAATAAAAAATAATATCAAGACATAAAACAGTACATCTGTACCACAGATTAAAAAATATATAAAAATCAATAATACTGGCATTTTACATAATTCATGTCAAATAGAAAGAAGTCAAAAAGATTTCTATTTAGGCTACTAAAGGCAGTATATAGTCGAAATATATTTTATTATTATATAAACATTAAACGTAGAACTCCACTGCGGTAACATTTTTAAAACTAACAAAATAGAAATGAGAAATAATAATAAACATATCTAAAAAAATTACCTTTCTAACTCAGTAATTACAGACTTTATAATAACAGACATCTTTATATCATCAATTTAAAGCTCACAGTAGGTTTCTGAGTGCTAAATCTCTGTATAAAATATATTCTTGTCATTATCTTTAACCAGAGACAACATATTTTAAACGGATATTTTGCTGTCAGAAACCCACGGTAAAACTTTCCGAAGTAAATCCATAGACAATAAATATCAGCCATTTGTAAACATTTCCATAAAACATAATTTCCATTGAATTTGAACACATAATGAACTCTCTTAAATTTTCTGACAAAAGTGACTACTAGAAATGACACTGCAGTGAAATTCTACATTAATAAAATGTCATTTTTTAATCATATTAATATTTAAAAATTAATTAATAAACTTCATTTGACAATACTATGAAATTGGAAAGTCTATAATATAAATAATCTTTAATAAAACATCTCCCAAGAACTGTTTTAGACTCTACTAACGCCCTGGGCGAGATTTGGGAGTTTCAGGGGTTTTGAACGCCCCTTTCTATCCAGCCCTGGGCGTTCCAGCCCTAACCTAACACCGGCCCTACCATACATTTTGTAATTGACTTCACAATTTCATACATGCTTACTACTTGACTCACACTGTCTCTATTTATTCAAAAAGTATGAAAGAGATAGAAACATAAATAATTACATTCCATACAAATTCAAAATACACTTTAAACTACATTTTTAATTATTGCTAAAAGAACAAATATAATTGAGTCAACAAATTTTATACTAGTGTTGTACCCAAGATATCGATATACCCAAAAATCTTTATCGATAATGTTACATACACTACAATAACACTTATATATTGCCATCCCTTTCATCCCCTCTAACAAATCAGAGACAGCAATAAAACAAATGTCAATGCTATCAAATTTTTAAAGTTTTTGACACTATACAGCGTGTCCCTACATTTATATCGAGACAAGTAAAATCCCACTGCCTTTATTTGTATTAAAATATGTTTGACAACATGTTTGGACAGTGGAAACTCATCGTGAGATTTAAATAATAGCGTTAGTCATGGAAGCGTGGTTAACATGATTATATCATAACATATTAATAGCTGTTATGTGCGAATGCTATAAGTAACGTCTTCTTACATCTGAAAGAGAAAATATTCTTTCGTTAATGTCAAAGTGTTATAAAATCTTTGCACGTTGCATCTTTATACTTAATCTATGTCAACTCTCTGCTTTCTATGTTCCTGACAAGTGTTCTGGTGCCTTTCTATAAATCCTATATAATTCTGCATAAAATATGCCATATTAAAGCAACAATTATTTTTACATTGAGAAAAATTTATACCGGAAATTGATTTTTCAGGGTGGTTCCTGTAGCATACATCTAAGCATACTTAAATATATAATTCAATACTAACAGCAACAAAATAGCATGTCAGTCAAGAATATCTTGTATTCTTTAAAAATACTTCCTAGTAGTATACACGGAAATCGGTATACATTACAATTGTGTAACGTGGAAATAGACGGCGTATAAGTATACCACATATTCAAACATTCCTATCAGTCAAGAATACGTTCCAGTCAAGAATACGTTCCAGTCAAGTATTCTTCACAGTGAAACATACCTTGCAGTGAGCATACAGTTCAGCAAAGGAATAGATCTGGTAGCACGTGGTCGTGGTCGCGGCGCAATTTTGCGCTGGGCGAGCCGCCCGCCAGCAGCGGCTCCTGGGACAGCGACGAGAATATCTCCTGCAGCTTGTCCTGGATCTCGTACTGAAAATACATCAAGTTAAATATCAAAATCAAGAACAATAAAAAACCATCCTATATCTTCTTACTAATATTATAAATGCGAATGTATAGACGGATGGATGGATATTTGTTTGAAGGTATCTCCAGAATAGCTGCATAGATGTCGCTGAAATTTGGCATAAATATAGAACATAGTCTGGAAGAAGACATAGGCTACTAATTAAGTTTTCTCCGTACGAACGGAGTCTCGGGCGACAGCTAGTTCTTCATATAAATAAGAATAGTACGACTTTACACAGTGTTCCATACATACCTTGGGCTGTGTGAGATGCAGCAGATAATCGAAAGGCGCAGTCCTAAACGTGTTGTTAAGAGAGGCCTTCTTCCGCTCAGCCTCCCTCTTCTCAGCCTCGCTGGGCCCGTTCGCGGCGCGACGTAGTGCCTCAAGACTCACGCTGTCTGACTGCGTCGTATGCTGTCGACAAGTATACATGCTGAATATACAATGATGTATACTGTCTATGAACATACATGTTGAAAATACTGTAATGTATACTGTCGACAAGTATACATGCCCAATATACTACGATGTATACTGTCGAGGTGTATATATGTTCAATCTATGATGTATACTGTCGACAAGTATATATTCCCAATATACTAAGATGTATACTGTCGAGGTGAATATATGTTCAATCTATGATGTATACTGTCGACAAGTATACATTCCCAATATACTACGATGTATACTGTCGAATTGTATATATGTTCAATCTATGATGTATACTGTCGACAAGTATACATTCCCAATATACTACGATGTATACTGTCGAGGTGTATATATGTTCAATCTACGATGTATACTGTCGACAAGTATACATGACCAATATACTATGATGTATACTGTCAAAGAGTATACATACATGTTCGATATACTATGATGTTTGCTACTTTTATTCTATTTTTAATTATACAATAATTATTTAAAGACAAGGTTATGTTTTATACACCAAAGTATGTTTGTATTATTACTAGATAGATATATTTCGACAAAATACAACTGTAAATTAATCATACTTCATACTAATATTATAAATGCGAATGTTTAGATAGATTGATGTTTGTTTGAAGTTATCTCCGGAACGGCTCAACAGATCTTGATGAAATTTGGTACAGAAGTAGAGTATAGTTTGAAAGAACACATAGACTACTCATTTAGATTTTTTATTTTCGCACAGATGAAGTTTCGAGTGATAGCTAGTCTAGAATATATCTAAAACTATGGTTATATCATATCTAAAAAACAAACGTCTATAATATAATATAGTATACCAATTGTGATAAATCCTTATTCAGATGTGGATATAAGTTAGGATCGACATCTTGACCCCAGTTCCAAAATTCGTTGTCTGTGCGCTATACATTCATTATTATATAAGAAAAATTCTAAAATAAGTAATAATTGAATAATCTTGTAAATATATTAAGGAAAAAAAAACTGCAGGGGAAAAATTAATCGTACATTTAAAAATTTAAGCACTTTAGTTTCCTTAAGCCAAATGATTTACCTACAATTGTTAACCTTTTAAAAATTGTGACAATATTCAAAGAATATATTTTTTTATGTATTAATACATATTTGTATGTACAGAGTTTTAAAATTAAAGAAAAAATCACAAACTTTTTGTAACCATTCCAAGTTAGCTAAGATTGTGCTAGACGTAATCTTATAAATGTTAATATTTGGATGGATGGATGGATGTTTGAAGATTAGTACTAGTAATAAAGTTTTTTTTAACACCACGCAGATGAAGTCGCGGGCGACGACTAGTCTTTAATATGTGTCGATACATATGCAGTCTGATAAGATTTGCTGTCTGTAGCTTAGTCCTTTTACAAACTGACAACGTTAACAATAATTATGAACATATTTACATATACGCCGAACTTGAGCATGACAGTGCGCGGATTTCGGTTGTATTTCTCCACGAATGTTCTGTATTCTTCATCAAGCGCGTCACACTGGACTTGCTATAGTATATTTAAGATCAGTTTCCACTGCCGGAACATGTACACAAACATATCATTCCTACCAATCTCTAAAAAAAAGAGATGGGAATATGGAAATTTAAAGTTAAGATAAATATCCTGACTCGAAGGACCACTTGATTATTTGACGAATTTATTTATAACTGTTAACTATACTGCCCGCGGGTTTCTGAAAACGGAATCTCCGTTTAAAACATACCATACATACATACGGTTATCTCTGTCTTGTCAAAAATAATGAAGATATATTTTAGAGAGATTTTGGTGTCAGAAACCCACGGTGAGGAATACACAAAAAAATGACAGGCAAGTTTAAATGAAGATTTTTGTTGTACTCACTCGTGTGACACCGGGCGAGCTGTTGGCACTGTCGAGCTCGGCAGGTCCGGCCGCGATGTCCGCCAGGCTGTCTCGACCTTGTGCTGCACCTAACATATAATATACATAAAAATATACATACAAAAGTCTAGATATTTAGATTACTGCCTAGTTTACACTTTTGAGACTCTCGATCCTCTTTTTTTCCTGAGTAGTCATTGTTTGACTTGAAGCAGCTTCACCGGTCTTAAGGAGGCCTGGTACAGGTGGCGCTTAGCCTAAACGTAGTTTAAGAGTAACAAAGCTCGACGGCTCCCTCAGGAGACTCAGCTCCGGCTGTTACTTCGTGATCATTACCGGATTGGACGAACGTATAAAAAAGGAGAGATTTCGATACCGTGTTCCCACATTGGAACAGCGCCATCTAGTGACAAGCATACACTGACCTGCCTCGACCCAGCTGTGTCTGTGCGCGAGGCCGGGCGCGCCACCCGCACTGTACGGCAGCGGTGACTGCAGCCGGCTGCCTTCGATACCGCTCGCCTTCACGCACTCACACAGCGCCATCTAGTGACAACTTACATACTAAGCCACCGTAAAGAGAGAGATGGAGATATCTCTTTCTCATTTCCTCCAGTAACAAAAGACGGGCTACAATGACGTACATTAAGGGGATATCGATATAGAGAGGTCTCTCTCTCTCTGTTTGACTAAAAGGGAGCTAGAAATGATAAAGCTAGCTAAGCTGCAATGACGCATAGAAAGATATATTCTCTCTCTCTCTCATTAGTAAATATATAAAGATGAGATAACAGAGAGAGATACATATCCTCTCTCTATCTCTTTCTATTCTCCACTGTCATTTCCTCTATCTTATTATACCCTACTAAAGTTTCAAAATCAGATTAAAAGTTTACATTAGGGACAAATATATATTATTTGTATAAAACAAACCTGGTCAATCATCAGATATGGCATCTTTGACGGCATCCTTGAAGGTGACAAGTTGTCGTAATCTTCTAGAAGTGGGGGCAGAAGATGTGGCGCCTCCTCGCGGCGAGCCTCTATAATCTGTAAAAGAAATTCCGTCACAATTACAATTTCTTTAAGACCTACACACTTACTAAGGTTTCTTTATTTTACAGTGGGTTTCCGAGTTCAAAATCACCGTTTAAACCATATTCCTATCTCTGTGATATCAAAAATGAAACAAGGATAACGATATGTTTTATACAGAGATCTTAGAAACCCACGGTACATAGGTTTCTATATATTGTCTGACAGAACTAAACCCGATAGTACCTCTCAACGGTCCATATATCCTTGGAACTCTCCTTGGTCCTCCTAGGACTGGTAATACAAGACCTACTTTTAAGTTCTATTATGATTAACTAGCTGTCACCCGCGATTCCGTCCACTTGAAATTTAAAAAATTAGTAGCCGATGTGTTCTTCCAGATTACGTTTAGCGAGATCCATACAACCATTGGATATACCTTCAAACATCCATCCAAACATATTTATAATATTAAGATAAGGTTCCATTGTGTGGTACCTTGGATACGTAGTCTTTAAGTGCTGGCAGAACTAAGACGTGAGCTGGTAACGCGCATAGTGACAATGCCACCGCGTGCAGACGACATTGCTGTGCGGTTGATAACACCGGATTATTTAGAGCTGATTGCTGGATACTGGAAATAATAACATCATTTAACAGTGGTAGAGCGAGCTTTAACAACTTCGCACGAATTGTCCCGGCTCGCCCGGTGAAATACCACGACCACACAGAAGACAGGCGTCAAGTGGAAGCTATTCCAACTACAGTCTGATGAGTGTGCGTCCCGGAGGCCTAATTTAGTCCTCTTTCCCTTTCCACCCTTTTTCTTATAAGGATGGGAAGTAGAAGTGGACTTTCCGGATGAGAGGATGCAATATATTTTCTTTCTGTGCATCCTCTCCTCCGTCGATTAACGCATAAGCAATTGCGTATGTCTATGGACAACGGTCACTTCGCTATTTCAGCGATTTCAGGTGGCCGCTCGCTCGTTTGCTATGGCGGAAATTAAGTAGGCACGAAATACTAATAGCCAGTCTATAGAGGTCAGTTTATTAATGTGTATGTTATCTTCCTCTTTTCAAAGTAAATGAAAGAGACAACTATATATTAATATTTATATCTTAAAATATAAACTTACGCGAGTATGAGCTGCAGCATATCAGGTACTGTCTCCTCAGAAGCGAGCTCAATGCAGAGCAAAGCCAGTGTTGTATATATAGCTTCCACGTTCTCTACTGTGTTTGATTCCAGTTGAAGACCTAAATATAGCATAGAAATGACATATATCTCATATAGATATATATATAGCTGTCGCCCGTGACTCCGTCCGCGTAAATAATAAATAAAATTAATTAGTAGGCTTATGTGTTCTTTCAGATTATGTTCTATATCTGTGCCAAATTTTATCAAAATCCGTTGAGCAGTTCCACTTCAGTTCTAGCAAACATCCATCCATCCATCTAAACTTTAACATTTATAACATTAGCAAGTTAGTTTTAATTATTAGGCTAAATGTTATTTTTGACTTCTTTTAATTTTTACTAATATTATAAATGCGAAAGTTTACATGGATGTTTGTTTGAAGGTATCACCAGAACGGTTCAACAGATCTTGATGAAATTTGGCATATATAAGGAATATAGTATGGAAGAACACATAGGCTACTAATAAAGATTTTTTTTTAATTCTTCACGGACGGTATCGCGGGCGTCAGCTAGTAATTATAAATCTTACCATCATATAATGAGCTAAATATAGCATATCCATGCTTGCTGATGAAGATCAAATCAGGTCTGGAACATTTCTCCACTGTTAGACCTAGTTCTGCATAATCCACACTGAAAAATAAAAAAAAATCGTTAAATACTCAATCTTATCTTACTAATATTATAAATGCGAATGTTTAGATGTTTGTTTGAAGTTATCTCCAGAACTGCTGAAGAGATCTCGATAAAATTTGGCATACATATAGAACATAGTCTGGAAGAACACATAGGCTAATTAATATGTTTTTTTTTTCTAATTTAGTCACTTATAAAAAACATCGAAATGGCTGAAAATATTCAGTGGTATTTACAATCATTATTTCTTAAATTTTATATAAGATATTTGCTTAGAGTTTAAATCTTTGATTATGGTTACTATAACCTATTTTTTAACTGTTGTCATTTTTAATTTAATATTAAATTAAAAAGCATGTCTGAAAGTAACTAAATATCTGTATAAATCTTATAAATGAAGGATGCAAAGGAAGTGGAAACATTCTATTTCTTTGCATCTCTTTCCCTGTCGATTAAATGTTAAATTAAACTTGAATGTCTATGTAACTGTAGCTTCGCCATTTCAGCGAATTCAGGTGGCTTATAAAAATCACTTGCAAGTGTATTCAGCAGTGTAAGCCGACGTTAAATATACATACGTGGGTAGAGCCAATAAAGCAGCGTTTCCACGCCTGTCTAGCAAGGTGTGCAGGATGCGCTGCAGCAAGGCGCGGGTGCAGGACTCTCCTGCACTCGACAGTCGCAGCAACGCCTCGAGGAACGCCGCGGGGAAAGCCTTGCTTAATTCTGTTGTCTTGTATGTTGTTCCTACCTGGAAATTTATTAATTTCATTTCTTAATTTCTATACGAATATCATATTTATACTAGTTTTAGTGATTTTTTTTTGTTAAGATTGCTTTTAAGCTTTTAATTGTGGGTTTCTGAAGACAAAATCTGATTAAAACATATTATCTCTCGTTTTGTGAAAGATAATGATAGGGATGATATTTTTATACAAAGATTTTGGTCTTAGAAACTCACGGTAAGTATTTTTTTCCTCTTTGACCTATAAGGTGTTTTTTTCACTAGATTCCAATTCGATAAACTATCGTACATATAATTATTGCATGACTTTCCATAATATAAATTGAGAATGAATTTACACTAAGTCACTTAACTAACCAAAGTTCTCTGAGTAAACGTAGGTTTCTGACTCAAAAAACTATGTATGAAATATATCGTTATCCCTGTCATTATTTTTGACAAAACTAAGGTAACAGTATGTTTTAAACGGATATTTTGAACTCAGAAACCCACCGTTAATCAACAGTTGGATACATTCGTTTCTTTAGCATACATTGTGTTGATACGTTAAATGTATAATAAGTAACTTACAGTGGGTTTCTAAACCCAAAATCGATATTGATAACGATATGTTTTATACAGAGATTTTGCTGTCAGAAACCCACAGTTAGCGTGTTATTGTGGTCTAACCTTGAGCAATGACTTAAGCAATATGCTCTGCAGCATCACATCAGGTTTGGCTGGTTTCCCTGCGCGTTGTCCGCTTGGTATCTTGCTCACAATGAACATCATGATGTCTATCTTCTGATAATCAGGCAGGTGGTCTGCAAACTCTCCCAAAGCGTTGATCAGCGCCTCCTGGTATAGCTTCTCCTCACTCTCTTTCTATAGGAGAGAAAGAGATGGAAATTTTATTCATATTTGTGTCCTGATATAGTTTTTTTTTCGCTCTCTCTCCAATAGAGAGAAAGAGATGGTAATATTATAATCACTAGCTACGACACTAACAGATTTAGTTTCTCCTCTATTACTGTAGAAGAGACAGCAATAGTTCTTCATACTAGCCTATTGGTATAGTGCTAGCTCGCTCTTTTTTGTACGTGGGAAAAAGACAGTAATTTCATTAACATCAGCTTACTAGAATAGTTTCTTCTTGCTCTTTTTCTGTACGATAGAAAGAGATAGAAATGTTATTTCATACATCAGCGTACCTGTATAGTGCTTGCTCGCTCTTACTCTATAGGAGGGAAAAAGACAGCAAAATTACCTCAGAATCTCTAGCCACGGACGCTCTTAAGTTAGTAAGAAGATTATTGATGATTTCCAGCACTGATGGACCTGGGAAGTACAAGTTTAAAAACATATTTAATCTTCTTTCTTTCCTGTTTCCTGGAGGATTCTCATCCTGTTTCCTTATAAGAAAAGGATGGGAGAGGTACAATGATTTGATAGAGAAGATGCATAGCTAGGGGAAATATTCTAGATTTTTTTACTATCATGACATACAGACACAGATTACATTAAAATAATATAGATAGCGTATGAGGTGCTGCGGAACAATTAAAAAAATATTACAATTTCATACTAAACTAGCTTTCGCACGCAACTCCGTACATGCGTTTTTATCCCAAAAATTAATAGTAGATGATTCTTAGACCTACTGAATGCAAGATGTTTCAGAAGAGTATTTAGAGAAGAGAATGTAACATTTTTAATATATTTCTTACCAACACTATCAGCAGCAGCAATGGCCACAATATTGCTGAGTACGGACGCGCGCGCTGCCCGCACCCGCGTGCGCGCTGCTCCGCCCCCTGACCCTGCGTCCAGGTGCTGCATCAGCGCCTCCACCACGCTGTATGAATACTGCGCCTGGATATATTAATAGTTTTACTATTAATACTAGATATCACACCTGACTTCGTCCACGTGAAATTAAAAAAAAAATAGTAGCCTATATGTTCTTCCAGACTATATTATACATCTATCATAAATTTAAGCAAGTTCCATACAGCCGTTCTGGATATACCTTGTAACATCCATCCATCTAAACATTCGCATTTATAATAATAGTAAGATTACTATATATACTAGCTGTCGCCCATGACTTCGTCTGTGCCCAATAAATACTTAATTAATAGTCTATGTTCTACATATTTGACAAATTTCAGCGAAACCCGCTGAGCAATTTTGGAAATAGATACGTTTTAACAATCATCCATTCATACAAATATACGTTTTTATAATATTAGTGAGCGTCGGTGGCTCAGTGGTCAAGCACTTGACTTGCAATCTGCAGGTCCTGGGTTCGAATCCCGACATGTACCAATGTGTTTTTCGATTTCCAATTTACATATGTATATTTATCCGACGTTCTTACGGTGAAGGAAAACATCGCGATGCTGCACATATCTGAGAAGAAATTCAAAGATATGTGTGAAGGCAACCCACACTTGGCCAGCTTGGTTGACTATGGCCTAATCACCCATAACTTAGGGTAGTCTCCGAGCCCCTCGATGGGGACGTATATTGAGCTGATGATGATGAATATCAGTAAGATTTAACTATACCTGAATGGAGAACATAATAATCTTGAATGTGTGCACAGCGAAGTCGTTCGGCACCCACAGTTCATGTCGATCGAAATGTCTGAAGAATTACACAAAATATATTTTAATACAAAGAAATATTTCGATAACATCATGTACTTTTTCGTTGAGACAAAAGACCAATTTTAAAACTTTCGTCTAGATTATCCAGATTTCAACAGGACTTTTACTGTAAGGTAGCTTACGTATTTAAGTGTAACTTAGGCTATTTTTTACTTTATAAGATTTTTTTTTTAATATTATCAGTTTTTTTTACTAATATTTCTTTTACCATTCCAACTTAGCTCTATGCTTGTGCTAGGATATGGTTTACGACAATACTTGAATGTTGGGATTCGAACCCCCGACCTCGTGATCGTAAATCCGTACCCTTAACCATTAAGCTATTGACGAAGCTAAAAGAAAATTCTATAGGGGCATGTTATACAAGTATTTAGTCAGTGTAAACCAACTTTAAATGAATACTGACGTGAGCACAGGTCGCAGCACACTACGTATGTGACCGAATGATGCGCGGCCGACCAGCTCGCGCAGGCAGGCCTCCGCCAGCCGTGTCGGGTCATCCTCTACACCATCACGACCATCCGTCTCCATACAAGATACTGTCTCGTATTTCTCTGCTACCTATAAAATAAGAGTCTTCACAGACACACAGACGGACGGACAACAAAAGACATATTTCGTTTTTTCCTTTCGATGTGCTAAATCCTAAACATTAATATTAGAGATAAAGAATCTATAACTAACTGCTGTCGAAGATTGGATAACAGCCAGTGGAAATTACTTAAATGTCACATTGCTTGCAAAAAGGTGAACTTGGTCAAAATAGAATAGTGGAACTAATTAAAAATGGCTGTAAAATACAGTTAGGGCCCTTCGCGGTGCGCTATTTATAGAAAAATGGCCGTGTGCCTTAAAAGACAAACACTGCCTCTATTTACAAAATAACCAATTAAGTAGCAGTGAGTTGCGCAAATGGCATTACAATAAAAAGCATTAAGTAATGTACCATTAACTTTTTTCAGACATATTTAAAAGTAACAACCACCTATTGATTATTCCTTTTCTTTCAACGTATCAATTCTAACTATCGCCTTTAATTAACATACCGCCAGATTCTCTGATAGTACAAAGTAATAAATTTGAAGACAGATAATAAATCTATTAAAAATCTCAATGTAAATGATAAAACGTTGTATAAAAATGCAAATAACTATATAATACTACTAAAACAATGACAAGTTTGTTTTTAATATTTGGTAGCGTCAACATAAATTATCGCACTTGAGTAAATAACAAATGACGTATATTTACCTGCATGTTGTACAACAGAGATGGTACGATTTTATCCATATGTTGTGCTTCCCAGATATTTTCTACAAGATCATCTGATACAGTTTTTCTTATCACCCCCTATAAAAAAAATTAAAACAAATAAAGACTAATTTCCAAACACTACGGAGAAGAAGTACAGAAAGAGAATATTTCACCTCCTATGGGAAAATATGGTGTTATCATTATTTCCTTATAAGAATTTTTGGTGGCAAACGAGCAAGCCACCTGCAATCGCTGAAATAGCGAAGTGACCGTTGCCCATAGACATACGCAATTGCATATGCGTTGCCTACTAATCGACGAAGAGGATGCATAGAAAGAAAATATTTTCCCTTCCCATACATCCTCTCATCCGGAAAGTCTTCCACTTCCCATCCCCAAACGACGAGTAAAATAAGTCCTCCATCACGCACTGATCTGACTGTACTTGGAATGACTTCGCACTTGAGGCGTGTCTTTATCTTTCCAGATTATTGCTGGAGTTTACTGTTTAAAGAGGTGTAGAAAATAGTTTTTTATATTTCATTTTTTGAATTGTATCTTTTAGTATACCTGCAAGCCTTGAATCCCGGCTAGTCGTATCTTATCTCGTGTTGGTTTGTCACCGTGGTTGCTATGACACATCGCTGAGAATTTTGACACGAAGAAGTCGTATCGTCGGTGGTAAGACGGCGTATCCTCTTCTATGTTAGCAAAGCGAACGAACTGCGGAAGGATCGAAAAGAGTTACATCAAACCATCTGATGAAGAGTTACATCTTATTGGTTTTGGTTAGACGCGTAATACTCTTCATGGCATGGGTCGACGTTTTAGGAAAAAAAATTACCATTAATACGACAGTTTATTATTCGTGTCTTTCTGAGACTAAAGTCTCAAAAACATATTGTTATCTCTATTTTGTCTTAAATAATGACAGGGATAAAGATATTTTATACAGAGAATTTGGTCTCAGAAACCAACGGTAACTCGTTCAGATCAATTAGGTGCGAGTTCAATTAGATAAATGAAACAAGTAGTGGCACTTAAAGAGTTAACAGTGTTACCAACAAATTACATAATTTTAGTGTACTATTTTGGTAGTTTTTTTGAGTTTCTGGAGGCATTACAGTGGTGGAAACATATTGGTAACTTACGCTCTGTGTTGCCAGTATCTGTAGCTGAGGATCAGTAGATTCTAGAAGCTTCTGCACCATCTTGAGGAAACTCTCTACGAATAAGTTGAGGGTCTGCGAATGGCACGCCAACAGCAATTGGTCCATCGCTTCCATAGCGATTATCACGAAACTAAAACATAAATCTTATTGTCACATAATTCTTACATGGTAACTTAGTCTTCTAATCTGTAAATTTTTTTCTCAACGGATCTCGCTGAAATTAAGCATAGATGTAGAGCATAAACGTAGAGTCAATTAGCGAGTAAAATTAAGGGGATCCGAATATTCCGTCCCCACAGAGGGAGTCATAGCCTACCCTAAGTTAGGGGTGATTAGGCCATAGTCAACCACGCTGGCCAAGTGCGGGTTGGTTCACTTCACACATATCTTTGAATTTCTTCTCAGATATGTGCAGGTTGCATCACGATGTTTTCCTTCACCGTGAGAATCTATTTCTCTTATACCTTCTTATATCTCTTATACCTTATCTCTTTTTTTTCTATAAAGTCCTGGCATGAAATAAAAATTTATTTAAAAATAGTATAACGTTTTCTTACTATCGTACGATGACGTCCTTGAAACGTTACTGTTAACTAGTATGCACGTTCTATGTGTAAATACGGTTAGATATTACTTTAAGTGGTTCAAGATAAACTTTATCTCGAGCGATTATCGTATGGTTCAATTCTCAAAGTTGTCTGCTGATATTTTACATTGTATATTAGAAAATAGATGTCATACGCAAAGTTTGAGAGAAATTAAAAAAAATAGCCTATGCGATATTCCATACTTTATGTCTATGCCAAATTTCATTCGGATCCGACCATCTTGTATGGAGTTATGTAGTAATAAACATCCATACATCCAATCTTTCGCATTCTTAATATTATTATAGTAAAATGATTGTCAGAATCATATTGAATCAGTTTGTGTATTTATAAATCTTACTAACATTATAAATGCGAATGTTTAGATGGATAGATGGAAGTTTGAGGGTATCTCCAGAACGGCTGAATTGACCTCAATAAAATTTAGCTACGTATAGCACATAGTCTGGAAGAACACATAGGCCACTAATTATGATTTATCAATTCCGCGTGGGTGGAGTCGCGGGCGACAGCTAGTAATCTTCTAAACAATATTACTTATACTTTACCATTTAATCAAAGAAGGAAAACCTTTGTTTTATTCAAAACATTGAAGTATATTAGGTTAATTGAAAATTAAATTAGTCTTTATAATCTGTGCATTGAACATGTTTATCGTGGGTTTCCATTGCCGACACACATTAACAAAAATATAGTCATCTCTGTTTTTACATAGTTAATAAAAGGGATGACATGTTGTGATGTTTCAACAGTTGCAATTCGAAACATTCGTGCCAATCAGAGCATAAGGGCGCGTCCTCACTAGACCGTAGCGTGTATACAGGAATATCTTTGAAATGCACTTTATGTTTCACTTAATTCTAAATTGTTTTAAACTTTAACAATAGTAAAGGTATGCGGTGAGAAGATAATGGAGTCAAAATATAAATATTAGAAGTTTCTCCTAAGAACAATATCCTATCTAACAAAAGAATATACACAGTACTAAAGAATTGTAGATGTATAAACAAAAAGTAATAGATACGGACTTTCCACACATTTATAATCTCTTTGTAGTCATTCCTGTTTAGTCCTATCGAGTTATACATAGGTCTTCAATACGAAGAAAGATATGAACTAACTGTTTTACATTTTTACCCGACTGATCATATTATTCGCGAGTATATTCCATCATGACCTCCCAAAACTAAAACGTTTTGTTTTTAAAATTTGATGTGTCATTCCATTCGTATTCTTCCACTAACTTGATACTTTTAATATTGCCACTTTAAATATAAAAAAATCTAGTTGCTACCCTTACCCATGTCTCCTCCTATATATATCTCTGGAGGCCTTCTGGAACAGATATTCCCCAATCCTATCCAGCTTCTCCGGACTGGAGAGGGAGTAGAACGTGAGCTTCTCCATGTTGGACTTGACAAGTCCATCTTGTGGAGAGGCAGGGAAGATGTTGTCCACTAGCCGCTTGTAACGCGGCCTTAGAGCGGAACAACATCCGCAGCAACCTGGAAAGTAGAAAATAAACCTTACTAATATTATAAACGTGAATGTGTGGATGGATGGATGTTTGTTGATATCTCCAGATCAGCTAAATAGATCTCGCTGAAATTTGGCATACATATAGAACATAGTCTGGAAAAACACATAGAGTACAATTTTTTTTTCTGCCCGGACTGAGTCGTGTGAATCAGCTTTAAGTTAATAATACTGACTGAATATTACGTCAATATCATATAACAAACATAGGTAAATCATTTTTTTTAATAATTCCAGCTTACTACCTTCACGCGTTTTTTGAGAAAAAGAGTCTTAACAGACTGACGGACGGCCAACAAAGTAATCCTATAAGGGTTCCGTTTTATTCCTATCGAGGTACGGAACTCTAAAAATATACAGATACATTATATAATAAAAGTAAACGCATAAAAACTAATACACAAATATTATGCGCAAATTGGTTTAAAGCTAATAAAGCATGGCTTCTCAGCCAGCCAGTCACTTGAACATTGTAATACATAAAAGAAAGAAAATACTAAATATGAATAGGCAATACTATCTTAGTTTTCTAATCGGAGATGGAAGGGGAAATTAATTTCCTTTCCCACAAAGATCGTATGTAGTAGTAGAGGCTATAATTTCAGCAACTATGACTAAGCGTGGATTTCTGATACCAAAATCTTTGTATAAAACATATCGTCTCTTTCGAGATAACAATATGATTTAAACGGAGATTTTAGTCTCAAAAACCTAAAGGTACTCATATTGCGTGATTAAACTCTTTTAATTATCATTAAACGTCTCTGAGTTATGATATGAATAGACTTACATGTCATATAGACAGTTCTGCTTACGATGAAACATGCACGATGGGCCACTTTACGCATCGTTAACATTTTCAACTTAAACTTACAACTTTATACTTAATTCAAGTTGTCACATAACTTAATCACTTATTTTTAATAATATTTAACGCACTGTGTCCATTATAATGCCTATTGTTAAATAGTATCTTACGAATATTATAAATGCGAATGTTTAGATGAATGAGATGGATGTTTGTTTGAAGTTATCAGTAGCTCCAGAAGGGCTCAACGGATCTCGGTGGACTTTGTTGTATACATAGAACATAGTCTGGAAGAACACATAGGCTAACTTTTTTTTTTCCGCGTGACGGTGTCGTGGGCGACCGCTAGTTTATTCATAAAATATGACTAATAAATTTAAAAGAAATTTAAACACATTTAGAGGCTAGTATTTTTATTTATTAATTCAGTTTTAATATTTAATATAATTAATAAAGACTTGGGTAATTTAAGAAATCTAGTGAAATATTATTAGATTACTTGTAAGATTTTTTTATAATTATATTCATTAACTCAAAAACATATTACCAAATATTAATACGTTTAACCATTAATTATTACCAACTGTACTGAATGGATTCAATAGTTAAAAATAATGAGCTACGATTTTATCAAATGTAACATACGATACCAAAACAAATATACAAGCTTGTTTGTGTATAAATCTCGCATTAGTTTGCTAACATTCATATAAAAAAAACTATGTTTATATCGAAAGTAACACGTTTGTAACACTTAATCACGCATAATTATACACACTGATTAACATTGCTAGCACAATCGGAACGTCCGTCCCGCGTCACGTCAGCCACAACTGTGTCACGCTGAACGATAACACGCTGATAACACGCAAACACGTCGTGTCTGTCATCACAACATTGGGCCTCTAACTTAATTAAAATTTGATTCGTTTACAATTTAAGCATAAAGAAAACTTTGTAGGATTTATTTGCCTTCTTTAATACACATAGTTGTTATGTCGCAAGAGAGATCTAGTTAGGGACTGTTTAAGTAACCAAAATATCACTATAGGTGATAAAATTAATACAAGGGAGTAGCCAACGATGAATTAGGGGGGCACGTAGAAATATTTTTTTTTTCTATAAAAGCATAAAAATGTCCTTGAATTGTTAAGAACATCAAGAACGATTATATTTTATTTCAAAAAATAAAAAAGTTAAATTTTCAATATAATCGATTTAAACACAAAAACTAATTTTGTCAATTCTATGAAAAAATCTTTTAAAAAAATAAGTAATACGATATAAAATAAATAAGTTATGAAGGGTATAGACACTTTAAATTCACAACACAATATAATATTCGTCAAAAGCAATGAACTTTGGAGACGAGTGGCGGGTCGCGCTTCTAAATATAAACTAGCCAGCCCGGCTGAAATAGAAGCTGGAAAGGGCGAAACCCATCCCCGTGTAACGGCCTCTAGCACACGGAAAGCGACGCTACAGCGAAACTAAAATAAAAGGCTAACTATAATCAAATGCTATGCTTGTTGGTTTTTGAAACAAATTTTAACATGAATCCAACATCAACAAATCCCTTATCTAAGTTGTCCCTAATCTCACAACGCGTGAATATGGAACAAAACCTTAATTCTTTTTTCTCCGTTTTCATGTCTTCTAATCGCTTTCAAGGCAGTGTGCTACAAATATAAGACCTCCTGGTCATTATCCACAGTTGACTGATAATTATTCAAACTTTATATAAGTTACTGATTGTATATAAGAGCATATGTTTATTTAATACATATGCATTCATACATAATCAATGGGCGGCAGAGAATGCATTGTTAAGTGTTAAAATTAATGAAAAACGCCCTATTGAGAATAGCAACATTACTAGTTTCTAGTCAAAATTTAACAGTTTTTATAATATAGATGTTCAGTTTATATTTAACTGTCGCCAGCGACTCCATCCACATGGTATTGAAAAAAAAGTAGCTTATGTGTTCATCCAGACTAAGTTCTACATGTCAGCGAGATCCATGCAGCCATTCTGAATATACTTTCTAACAAATATCCATCCATCTAAACATTCACATTTATAATATTAGTAAGATGTTTACTTTTAGTTTATATTATTAGCTTCTAGTCAGAATTCAATAATTTTAGTTATACGTAACAGGTATGTAAACTAAATATATAAAAAAATGGCATAAATAAAGAACACAACAGTTCCCGGTAAGTCAAACTTTTTTGTTCAATTCTACATATTCGTCAAATTATTTGATAGCATGCAACTTTATTTGATGATTTTATCTCGAATATCATAGCAATCTTACAAATGTTGTTAATGGAAATGTTTGGATGTACAGATGGATGGATGTTTGTTAGAAATTATCTTCAGAAAAGTTGCATGAATAAAATTTTAATCTTGCTGAAATTTAACATAGATGTAGAACATAGTCTGAAAGAACACGTAGGCTTACTATGAATTTTTTAAGCTAGTTTTAAATAAAATAAACTTTTAATTTTAAGATCATGTATTTATGAAATTACACCTATTTAAAATGATATACATTTAATGTTTGCGCTTCTCATCCCTACTGTCTCGTCCATCCCGACTTGACTTAGCACGGTCATAATCATCATACTTCCTCGACATCATCCGACTCCTCTTATCATCCATTCGTCTTTCACGAGAACGATCCAATTCTCTATCCCTTGAACGTGACTTATGCCGTTTACTTGAATAGTCTCTTTTACGATCATAAGGTGATCGGGATCGTCGTTCTCTCTTCTTATGACCACTACTGTGATATTTTGATAATGGTGGAGTTTTGGGAGACTTTTCTTTTTTAATATCCCGTTTACTATCTTTAGAAGTTGATGCAGCTGGAGAGTCAGCCTTCTTTTCCTCCGCCTTCGCTTCTCTGTCTTTCTGCGCTTGAATATGTTTGTTCGCTTGATAGATTTTCTTTAAAGCATCGATTTTACCTTCCAATTCTTCGGGATTGACTTTAGATCTTTTGTAAAGTTGTAAAATTCTTAATGATACTTCTCTTATATCTTCTTCGGGTACTTTGAATAAGAGAAACCAGTGAGGATTATTAGGTAATGGTAGACCGATTTTACGGGCTGTCAGATATATGCAAGCGCAGGCAATTGTTTCTGGTGGGAACCTCATGAATACATCAGTTCGGAGAGCATCATTCATGTAGTTCCAGGCTAACTGCATGAGTTGTCTGTTCTTCTCATATTGTAGGAGTTGGAGGTACACAACAATAAGTTTGTGGGGATGTTTCACATGTACACAGAAGCCCAGTTCTTTAAGTATTCTTCTCTCAGCTTTAATAACTTGATTCTTCAGTTCTATGTAATTTTGGTCAACTATAAGGGGTGATATGGTCTTTTGTGCTCTCACTTGTTTTATATGATGGAACACATTAATCACATCACGTATCCTACATGGTTTCTCTTCCACTTTTGAGGCTAAATAAATACTTCCCATAGCTGTTGTCTCCATTGGATATCTTACAAAAGATTTAGAGTAATAGAATCTTTGTAAGTACATTTGACCAGTAGCCATCGCCACTTGGGGCAACTTAAGTAAGATGCCTGCAGTTTGGATCATTTCACAACCTAAAATTCGTAGGTCAGTTTCGGTTTCAATGTCAAGTCCGTCAACTTGTGATGGCGTCTGTTTAAAAATTGATTCTGGTAAAAGACAGTTATGGAGGGTGAGCACAATCTTGCCATAGGTCTTCTGAGGCTTCGTTGCTGTTCCATTGTTATTTTTTGTTTGATTCTGCACTGTTGTAGTGGACATGTTGTTTCCGTTTGTATTTCAAAGTTTATTAAAATTATATGTATAATATCAATTATAATGATATTCAAATGTTTCTGTGCACTTCATATTATTTTAACGAAATAGTTATTGTAAAACTACACGACACAAATCCCAAAAATGCTATCGACGAACGAAAATGACAGGAGCCAAAGCCAAGATGGCGCCTCAAATCTTAACAGATGTCAAGTTGTTTTAGGTGTTTGCAAGTATAGTAAGAATAAAAAATTACTGGAAACATGACTTACCATGCGCCATTGTCTAAATTAACTATAAACTCGATAAAATGATAACAATAGCACTTTTTAACTAAAATTAGGCGTTGATTTCAATGAGTCACACAAATCAACAATTCTAATTTGTTTTTGACATAAGTGCGTTCTGTTTTTGCTAAATTTTTTCAATGGTGATTTCAACTAAAATCATATCTTTGGTTGAAAATCTCAGTAATTAACATTAGAAATGCCAGTAGTATATTGGCTTCATACATTTTTATCTGAACAACATATATATTTTTTAGTGCCAAAAATTTTGGTGAAGAACAAAAGCCAAAAATTTATTTTAATTCAAAAATAGGATGAAACAGAGCGAAACTCCAAAGCGGGAAACTTAAAAGAGAATCTTATCGATCAATAAAATTAAACAAAGATAATATGGTCATAAAAATTAAATGCTATTCATAGAGACGAACGTAATGTTGAAATTAATTATTGGTATGAATAGAATCTTACATAATATGTACTTACATCCTGGATCCGTGCATTTCTGAACAAATGAATCCAAAAAATCATGTCCTTCTCCCGCTTCGAAACAACATTTCACAATAGACATTATTAAAACAAGTACTTTAGAAGTAGAAAAATAATAAGTAGAAAAAATATAGTAATTGTAACGTAGGTAAATAAATTTTCTTTTGTAAATTTGTAATAAAACTATCCTTAAAAAACAACCCCCTTAAAAGCAACTATGTTTAATTCACAGCATCATACATTTAATAATTAATTCACACTAAAATAATTACATTACCAACACACGCAACACATATAAATAAATACTCTAAACACTAAATCTTTTCAACATTTGTATAAAATAATATTGCTTAAATTTGTACCCAAATATTCTCAAAATAAAAACACAGATTTTATAAACAGGTCAACAATGTCACATTTCGTACTTTCATTTTTATTTTGTGGAGATTATTGAATACAAAATGTCAATGCGGTCACAGCAAGCTGTTAAATGTAAAACGACTAAATTTAAAAATAGGAAGTGTCTACCAGTAAACTCAAAAATGGTTTCATTTAAAATTTGTAGTATTATGCGCGAGTGGATCGCGCGTGGCAAAATTAACTGGATGCGATGACAGCTTTAGTTTTATCTACCGAATACTAGATGTCTCTATACCAAGTTACATAGAAACTTAGTTATACGTAGCACGTAGTAATCTCGCCTGTGATAATTCTATAGCAAAATTCTTATGTGCAAAATCATAGTTATCGTGTAAGATATTTTACGTAGAGACTAACCTATTTGAATGTGTTTTTTTTTTAATTTTAAGGTTATTTTTTAAGTTTTCCACCAAATAGAATAATTTACGTAAAGATTTTCTTCACAAAACCTATAACCTTTTAGCTTGCATAAAGTCCAAAAAACTAGCTATACTATTGCATATGTTATTATGTCGTATTCGAATAAAGCTTTAGAATTACATAAAAGAAAATAAAAAATAAATAAGACTGTTTCTGTCACTGCCTTCTTACATCAAATAATATATTATTATCATCTGTTCTATTCTAATTTAAAAAAAAAATTAAGTAAGAAGCATATAACAGTATTTGTATTACGACATACTTGAAGTTGAGCCAATGTGCTTGTGAACGGTTGCTCGATTTGGCAAAAAGCCACTGTTATCGCAAATCCTGTCGCCATGTCCCGGTAAATCATGATAACTACGGAACATTTACCTTTCCTCAAGCGGTCTTTGTAAACGCATAGGCACGGTTATGTCAAAATTGCCGCGAAATGCATTTTGTTTGGGGCCAACATTTTATCTTATTTCATTTCAATACAACTATTCGGTGGTATTAAAATATATTAAACTACTAGTTTTTAATATGTCAGATATTTTTTGATAAAACATAGATGTAGCTATAAAAGTTTTTTTTAACCGAAGCTATTAATGCGCGTAAACAACAACTCTTCGATTTAAGACAAATCAGAATGGCTGTACATGAAACCAAGGACCATTACGACTTATTAAATATTAATAAATATTTAACAAAAATAAACAAGTGGTTGCCACGAATGCAAATTACTGTTGGAACACAATTATAATATAGTCAAAATTTTATTAAAATACTATTACTCTGTACTCTGTCCAGTTGCTAGTCAAAACAGGAAGTCTAAATAGTGTTACATAAACTAACGAGTTAACTAAGATATTGTTTCAACGTGGTTAGACTATCTATATTTATGTGTCACCGTAAACATTCTCTGTGGACTAATTGATATATTAAATATAAAAAATAACAACTTCAAGTTGTTTTCCTTGCAAACTAAAAATGCCTTCGATTTAATTCCTTGCCGTAGAGCCTTTTTAGACAACGCAACCGATCCCTCACTCGCCTCTCGCCAATTTAATTTTTTTAAAACCAATCATTCAGTCGACCTCGGATTGTAGACGAGAGCGGGCGCTTCAAGCGCCATTTTGTTTTTAATGTCAAACTACGCGGTAGTGCTGTGATTTATTTAAATTTTAAATAGTGAATCGTGATTTATCTAGTTGTGATAAATTTTATATTTTGTGTTTAGATTTTATTTTTTGGGTGTGTTTTGTGTGCTGTTGTTTTTCAAGTATTTAAAATTTTTATATCATTTGAACTATCGCCGGTATTGCGGATGCTTTTGTTTTGGTAAGTTGTTTTTTTCCAATCAAATTGTAAAAAGTTATTTTAATTTCAAACGCTTTATTACTTTTGTTACTTAAAATTATGAATAAATTATTAATCGTGTATCATTTCTCATTATAATAAAAACCGGCTTTATTCTGTCAAGATTATTGTTTAAAATAAAGCTAATGCCAACTTAATGTCATTCTACTAGAATATTGTTACTGTCCACATTTTTTATTTAAAAAGTTTTTATTTAGATTTCCGCATTATCCCACAATCGTCTATAGTTAATCCAATCGTTTAATAAATTTCACAATATAACTTCGTAACTGGCCATTAGGTTCTCTCGCTGACAGGTTAACCTTTTCATATCGTTTGAAAGTAAGAACTGCAAGTTTAAAAGATAAATCACAAGAAGACAGACAGAAAAAATGTTATTTAAAATTGTTTACGTGATTAGATTGTTTTTTGTTGGCGTTTTGTAAACGTAGTTTCAATTTTACTACAGCATACTTCATAAAAAAACAAACGAATTTTTGTTTAGTTTCGAAGAAACATTTTAAATTAGTTTTGAAAATGAAAAATAATGTAGGCAACTGTAATTTAATCCGCCATTTTACAAAGCGCGTGCAAATCATTTAAATTGGCATTTTATAACCATGCGGGTAAACAATACGTAACATAAATGGAATATTATTTTTTATCTATATTAGTATTAGACAATCCAATTGTATTAATTGTATAGTTATTGTATCGCTTATAAGATTAAAAACTCGTGTTTCAATTGAAAACCAACGGTTAGAATTAGACTCCGAAATGTCTTTTGTGTATCGCCAATACTAATTATATGTTTTTTTAAATCGCGTTATCCGATGAAAAGAGTTTATAATGCTTAGCTGTCGCCTGAGACTCCGATCGCGCAAAATTAAAAAAAAATTGTTCTACATCTATGCCAAATTTCAGCGAGATCAACGCAGTACTTATGTAGATACCGTTTAACAATCATACATACATCCAAACATTCGCATTTATAATATTAGTAAGATTTTTTAAACAAAATAGTGTATAAGTTTAGTCGAAGTATGCCTTTCCGTTTTCAATCTCACTGATTGTTAATTTATTATAATTAAATTTCAAAATTAGAATACGTTTAAACATGAAAGTGGAAAGTGGTCAGGGCAGTTAATCTCTATGGTTGTATTCAATATCAATAAGCCACAGACAAAACGATTATTAACAGAAAGTTAGACGAGAAAGGGACAGATCAAACGAAAGTGGGGCCATCAGTGATTAGGGCTGCCATAGACGATCAGCTTTAAGATTCCGCTATCCGTGTGTAATGAGTTGACTCATTGGACTCTGATAGTTTTCTGCGAAGCCTCGCTCTACAGCCTAAGGCAAGTTACGTAAGGTCATACATGCTTGGCATACTTCTTGCATCCTTCTTGTTTATGTAGCTTTTTGTTTTGTAATCAATTGGTATGGTGTTGTTATAAGTTATTGTGTAATTTATTTATAAAAGTTTT